GCGCGACAGTGGTGCCTTCACCCCTGAAGAAGCCGATGAATATATCAAGATCGGGACCCTCAACGGTCTCTTCGTCCTCGGCCGCAGCATCGGCTTCATTGGACACCACCTTGACCAGAAGAGACTCCGTGCGCCGTTGTACAGACACCCTGCTGATGATATCTTCATCAACATTGCGGATTTGAATCAGCCGAGGGTGTTGGGGAAAATGCAGTGAGCGGCGCGTGTATTAATGTGAAGCTGGACCATCCCGCCGTTGTAAACTGAAGACTATTAGACGTGCATAATACAAACTGAACCTCATAGCATATCGTGGATCCTTTTTCTTCTACTGTTTCTGTACTCATGGCTTAGGAGATTGTCTAGAACGCATTTTCATACTGTTTGCAATGGATAGATTTCTCGTGAAGAATGTGCCGCGTCGATATTCAAGTATGTTTCGTGGTCCCACGCTTGGTTCTTTCAGCTTCACAAGTTGACACTACAGACCGTGCCCATGACATTTCAACGTTGTTCCCAACCTGAAGAAGCTGTATGAACACCTTCGTAACTACATGAGTCTCATCATGATGTCACGCCATGGAAACTTGCGCGATAGTCCATACATACCTGCGGTTCTTTATTGCGTGACGTGAGTGAACGATAACTCACAGTTCGCTACCTCGGGCACATGCAAGTTGGGTAAGAAGAGATGCTTAATACTTTTCTCATCCCCCTCGCATGTGCCATGGTATCATCTATGTTGGTGCGTTGAAACAGGTTATAGTCTGAAGGCGCCTGTGGACGACGCACAACCAGCGTTATCGAGTCAAACTTCAGCTTTAGACTGCAATCTAATGATAGCTAAGAGGTAGTGCGGGTACGACTTTGGCCTGCGAGTAAAAAGTTGAGTCGTTCGTGCCCTGGTAAACTTATCATCTCGCGCTAGAGCATTGGTCGAACATGTGCATGAAGGGGCGCTGGTACTACGCATAGGGCTTCTTATGCAAACATCTGCACAAAAAGTAAAGTGATAACTAGTCCGCAAAAAAAAACAAGACGCACGAGCAAAAACTATCAAGTAACAGAGATGACCTCATGACTGATGCGAGGTAGGACGACCACAACTAAAAAACAATCCGCAGCACCTAATTTCATAAGAAACTTGTCCTGTCTCACCAATCGATCCTTGTGTTTCTGTCGGTCGTCCTCGATACTCTTGTATCCCCGGCACAACCTGAGGTTGACCTGCTTGTGTCAAACCACCAGCCTCGTTGCCATTTGTATGTTGCGCAGCTGCTGCTGCTGCCGCTTCTGCCCGGGCCAATTCTGCTGCGCTGGGAGGGGAAACATAAATTCTCTGCAAATGTATTAATTTCTATGATATCAACAAGGAACGATGGAAGCTACCCACATTTTTCTTGCGACCGGCAGCTACTTCAACGGTGCATATAGAACTTCCTCTTGCAAATAAGTTGAAATTCCAACGTCGGGGCTCGAGCGGTATTGATTGTGGCGCGTTTGCATGTCCAGTACTGAAAGGCAGTAAACTGAGCAAGTTACGCCAATGGAGGGAAGACGATGGGCTCGCAGGAGAAGGCGTGGGGTTCGTATCAGCGTCCCAGAAGCCATTGCCCTGTGCCACTTTTTAGACTTGCGAGAGCCCTGGAACGAAAAACTGCACTGACATATCTCGCCAAGCCTTTGTTGACGGCCTGGGGCCGCTGCTCGGAGATCTGACGACATGAATAAGCGGATGAGCAGAGTGTTGATAACTGATCGGCGCACAGCATCTATCGATCGAACTGGATGTCCCTGGGAAAAAAGTGAGATACAATGCGAAAGGGAAGCGCAGACGACTTGCCTTGACCTTTGCACTGCTCTCATCCGCACACTGAACAACGACCAGACTCCACTTAGAAAAGACACAGACAACAAATAAACACACGCACGTGATTATTGACTGTATGTTTGAGCGCTGCATCCAGGCTCCATACATATATCTTTCCATCCAATCCAGCACTGACGATATACTTTCCATCAGGGGAAATGACAACAGCCCAGATTAGGTCGTCGTGCAAGAGCGGGTCTCCGACCGGCTGATTGGTCTTGAGGTCCCAGATGCGAACTGAGCAGTCATGTGATGCGCTAACAAGATGTCTTTCATCCGGGGAAAGACAGAGGGAGCTGACGTGATAGTTATGAGCCTGAAAAACAACAAGCTCTTTCCCATCAATCGACCCCCATTTTCGGATGGTGTGATCGGCTGACGCAGAGAAAATATGTGTGCCGTCCTTGGACCAACGCAACGATGTCACCTCGCGCTCATGACCTTCGATCTCCATGAGCAGTTCACCATCCTTTGACCACACGCAGATCACCTTGTTCTCTCCGCCGCTCATGAATTTGTCTCCTTGTGGAGAGTATCTGACAGCGTAAACCACCCCATGGCCGGGCTCTATCGGTGGTGCTATTTGTCGGCCAGTATCCGGGTTCCAGCGTCGTATGGTGCCATCTTCCGATCCACTTGCTATCTCTTGGCCGTTGAGCGACCAATCAATGGACATCACTGCATCATTATGCCCCTCCCACGATTTGCCGATCATGCTGTCCTTCTTGATGTTCCACAGCCGTAGCCTGCCATCTCCGCTTCCGCTCACGACCATGGATTCATCTGGAGACATTGCCATCGAGCATACCGCTCCTCCATCACTAGCCCAATGCCTCCCCACTGGCTCTCCATCTATTGTCCACTGACGAATTGAACTATCGCTTGACGCGCTCAGTATATTGCAACTGGTGCCCATCCAGGCAAGGCTATTAATGAGTTTGTAATGGCTGTCGATGATGCACTCCGGCGCCAAGCTCCCTGGTGGACGCTCAGGTGCTGTTTTTTTCCACGATGTGGTCTTGGTATTGTGGTTGACGAAGTAGGACCGACCGAGCGGTGAGATGTGCCATTCGCATCCCGGCACGAGTTGTCCGGGATGATCTATGTTTCACCATTAGTTCCTCGTTGCTAGTGGGACATTCTTCGTTCACCCATTCGCACTCCTGGTAAAGGTCGGTTACATGAAGCCATTACGGCTGTGTCATCTTGATACGCTATTGTGTCATCTAGCAGCTTAAACTGCCACCATTGAGGAGGAAGCGCTTCATTCCCGCCTGTTTCTCGTTGAGTAAGTGAGTAGGTATGAAAATGCAGACACATACCTTCCCAAAGTGCGTCCTGGCGATATTGTGCACCATAGGGTGGTGGATCCTTCTCCTTCGTCCGACGAGGCACGCTAACTACCGGTGAGTTCAACGACGCCCTTCGTTCCTTATCTCTTCGTTGTGCTGATGCGCTTGATTCGGCCATGACACTGTCGAAGAAAGTTTTGAATGACTGCTATCCGTACAGACTCGTTGAGAAAGCTCGATAACACAGACAGTGAATTGTCGAGAACGAGAAGCGATGGTAGAAGTAACGAAGAGACCTGGGGTCAGATGTGATGCTGTATTTGCAGGCGTCTCACATGTCAGGGCAGTTCTATAGATTGCTGTACAATACGTTAGACTCGTCAGCGAGCGTCAAGATATGAATATGGGGCGTGCCAGTCAAATGTAAGATCCGACTATATCTCCGAAACATCATCAAGTTAATGCGTGGCATACCGTGAATTTCATTCTCAATAGAATCAGGAGAAAAATGGTAGACTCGTTCCGGACCAAGAAGCGATTTGGCTGAAACCTTAAAACGTCGGTGATACATAATAGAGTAGCTAAGTTTACTACATGTACGCTACGGGTTTGCAACCGATTCACTGTGTATCAAGCTATATCTACTATGTGAGTCATTCTTGTCTAGTTCATACTATTCATACTACTAAACGAGATTATTAACCATCTAGACTGGATACTCGGGCTTTCATTCTTTTGAGATGACGCCGGATGAATCAACTGTACATACAAGGCAGGTTCTGATTCTGGGATTCCAATAAATTCATCCTAAACTATCCGCTGTGAAGTGCTGCCATACAGGCGCCACGGTGTTAAACCAATATTCCAAAGCGGTAGAACCTCCCACAATAATATCTGCAGTGTATTAAAGCAAGCTTCGTCTGCCTCAGTACTAGCTCAGAGTCCCTTTTACAAAGCTTGTATCACTTCGCATAAATCATGCATTTCTTCTTCCTCGTAGTCGTTACTGCCTTAGCAGCATGTCTGTCTGTCGCTGCACAGACCAACTCCAACGGCTGCAAGCCCTGGTTAAAGGCCTGCGACAAGAACAGTGATTGCTGCAGTAATATCTGTGCTCCGCCGAAGGTGAGTATGAGTAGTTTGTTTTGCATCCAGGATTAATATTCAACCCCGTTGCTCACCACCCCTTGCTGTCAATAGCGTGGCGCTCAAAAGGTCTGCAACTAAGACTGCTTACCGATGGCCGGCAACCTGTCTATGAGTACATCTGGACGGTGAATCGTATTTCTGCTTTCGCATTAGTTCTGTACTGATGGCACAATACATAGTCCGTTGCTGAGTTGGTCAATGTAGTTGTTCCTGGAGTCTGAACAATTTTCCCTGCATGAGCAATGGAGGCGCCTTTGAATTTGTAATTTAAACACTCAATATTCAATATTGACTGACTTAAAGAGACGTGAGCAGCGATTTCAATGCCCTGATTTGTCCCGCATCATTCGCCTGAGCTTGAGTATTCATTAATATTAATATTCATCGTCGAAGCCTGCATTGTGTGCATAGCGGCTGTAGCAGTTGAGACGGAAATTTTAATGTGCGCATCAATGAACATTTTCAATGGACATCCAATATCGTTCACCACTACCAACATTATCATTGACGTAGTTGGTCTGTGTCGTTCATCACTCGATACTACATGTGTAAGTTCTTATATCTATTAGCCCTTGATGCACGTACTTTTGAGTGCCTCAAGATCTGCCGGAGTGTAAAGCTCTCCGGATCCTCTCTCGAGTGGGAAAATATGATACACAATCATGGTAAATGACTGCAGGGAAATCATAGTCTACAAGACAGCGCGGTGTTGTAACAGCTTCTGCAACGTTCTCACCGTGTTATACTTCTCTTCCTTCATAAACGTTTGAGAACGATTTGAACCCAGGAACACCAGCATCCCCTAAAATCAATGAGTAGGCCTGGGACCCCATAATCTAGAATGAAAAGCGCACATTGCAATTGAAAAGCGCACATTGCAATTGAAAAGCGCACATTGCAATTGAAAAGCCGCACTCTCACTCGTAGTGATGTATCCACCACTCTGTCGAATCCGCGCCAGGGAAAATGAAATCTCTTCTTTATCAGTGTTTGCGTGGGCGGGAAACGATTTCGGTGTTACTGTACCCCTTCGCCACGAAATCCTCAATAATCGGCCTGATGAGATCATCAGGAGCTTGAATAAGCGAAATCAGCCGGGAATGAACTACTAGCACAGACACGCTACTTACGGGCAGGAACTCGACCGTGTATTCGGCATCTGTGAAAGTAATTCAGCAGGAGAGACAGATGGTTTTGGACCATCCATTTGAACATCGTCGCTAAAAATTTGTCCGCGGGTTTGCTCATGACCCTACGGTAGACACGGTGACGAGGTTGATCTTTAGGCTGCCGCTCACTGGCGAAAGATGGATCAAGGGCCAGAAGACGACATTGTTATGACACAACGTACATGATGTTGTTCACCCTCGAGACGCGAGAACGATGGTCGACTCTCTTCATTGGAGTCAGTAGATAAGGTGGCCGTATCGTCAATACGAGCATAAGGTTGATTTTGATCAAATCTTGAAATTTTGTTCTTCTAACATGCATCGAGGCCCCAGAGGATGATGTAGCCCTGACCCGACAAGAAAATTGAAACCATGTCACTCTAGCCGTGGATAAGGTTTGACTCGAAACACTCGCAATGAGGAGAAAACGAGGCAAGGTACAGAGCTGAATATCAGATCTGTATCTTGCCCTGACTCCTGAGTTGGGATGGGGCCAGTGCTCAAAGTAATCGCCGTGTGGTGCAGGTTGAGAGTACACTGGAATCGACTCGCTTGTACGAGAATGGTGAAGCCTTGCACGAGAAGGTGAATCTTGGTTTGATGCTGCGAATGTATGAATGGAGATGGTCCGATAAGATGGGATAAGATGGGAGTTGAGGAAAGTAAAAGAGAAGCCTGCCATGCAAAAAGTATAAGCGAGGCTAGATTGGACGTGCTCGAGTTAAATTGCATTTATAATGATTCAGTAGGACTGTTAAACGCAAATATTAAGCTCTGGGCGCACAATTCGTATACACGACAAAATTGAGTTTCGTGGTTCTTCTGCTTTGACTCAGCGGCAAGACGGTGTATACAAATAAGATACAGCAATGTCACATGTAGTCTGCTGTACATGCTGTTGTAAATCCCGGAAAGCTTGCGATGAGGAGAAGATAGTGAAGTCTTAAATTGGGACCGAGTCGCAGGACTGCGCCCCAGTGATCACTTGGATCCAAATCATCAAGGCAAGTCGATTTGATTGTATCTTTCCTGAATTCCTGAGTCGTGATGGGGGCAGTCCTCAAGGTGATTGCCGTGTGGCGCAGGTTGAGAGCATCATGAGATTGACTCGCTTGTATCGAATGGTGGAAGCTTCCATGAAAAGTAGAGGGGGAATCATGTGGGATTGGTGGGAGGATGTAATAGGAGATGAGTTGATGAGATGAGAAGTCTAAAGAATAAGCGATGAGTGAAACAATAAGAGGATGGTAGCAGAGAAACCAGAAGCGTAAGCGAGGCGAAGTGTGGGATGCCAGTGAGAGCTCGATGGTGAATTGATTAACAGCGCTGAGATCTGAGACTTGCTCACACCAGTATCCTCCGTTTCCAGAGTCGATCCTGAGTACTGAGTATCGACCCTCCTCTCTCAACTATTCGGTTTGAAATTGAATTGGAAAGTCGGCCTGCAAATGATGTTTTCATTAATAAGTATTGCGGATTTGAGCCAACCGAAGGTGCTAAGGAAATGTAGTGAGTGTCGCGCACGCGCTCCGTGGTGTGGACTTCGGCATAGTGATGTTGTTCAGCTCCAGGACCTGGTGACTTGATGTTGAGCAAACTGAAAAGTGATCTTGGCGCCGCCGTTGTAAAATGAACATTGAAGATCACGTGCATCATACGAACTGAGTACTGAATGCGTATAGAGTCATGGTCTGTCACTGATTCGATGGCGTGTAATGCCTTGACACATACAATATCTGACTCGGAAATGCTGGATGTTCATCGTTTCTGTTGCATGTGTCACTACGGTACAACCTATGCTGGAGGGTTGAAACCGATCATAATCCGAAGGCGGTCTAGGAATCAGGATGAGCCTGACTCAGCCTGTGTCGTACATGGGCAATGCACACCAGCGTTGCTCAAGCCTTCGCTTCAAGGGGTGCGTAGCCAGGGATGCAACTACATGAGCAAAAATATGATCAGGCCCTGGTGTCATCTCGCGGCTAAAGCGCTTGTAGTTGAATATGAAAATGCTTAGTCGCACTGTGACAACGACAGCCTGAGCCTGAGTCATCTTAGCGCTCATGGATGTATTCGGGCGTGAAAAAGGTGCCCGCAAATGCAGCGTGCACACCTAACCTTCTCTTCATCACTTTGTCGCCTGCTTCCCCCGTGGGCACATCATCTCCCTATCATTGGCACAATCTGTTCGTTGCAATTCGACACTCAACTTGCAAATGTGTACCAACCAATGCTGCGGGAGCCCCGGTGTTCGAATTTCGGCTGATCTCGCGCGAGATTTTCCAGGCATCCCATCGAGGTTGCTCCTTATCGAGAATGACTCGCTTGATATCTATTATCAACCATGTTTCTTCGGAAAACCATTGAGCTGGGTTTACAGAGATACGGCATCATCCCTCCCACCAAGGCGGAACTATGCAACATACTAGTGGTAACCAGGCCCACAGTTCAACGCAACGCGGCCAACCCGCAGCGGGGACACAAGGGCCTCAAGGGCAATAAACACAATTCGACTAATACTGGAAAGGCGGGAAAAGTTTCCTATGAGAGAGTGAGCTGTTGCGGATGGTTTGTTGGCTATCGTCATTCCCATTCTCGTTGATCATAAAGTCATTTGCTGAAGTTGTGCCTCTCACTCGATAGTTGTTTCCCCTCTCTCATGCAACTCTATAGATTGTTCCGCGTTCCAGTTTTGCACTCGTGCTGTACACGATATTTTCGTTATCTACATGAAAGTTCCATCGCTATAGCCTCGTCTTATTTCAAGTCAGGCGAGACAATGAATAGCTGCTTGGACTGGATAACCTTTACAACCAGCTGGATAGTGTAGGTCAGGAAGGTGAAGACGAGTAGATTTTGCTGATATGTAAAGGTAGTGAACCAATGGAGTCGTATTCCACGGCAACCCATCCTCCCTCAGCTGTTTTGAGTGTGCCGACCTATATCACAGTTTGCTCTGCGAGGGCAATTTATCACCATGAGACCGACCCAGATACCAGTGTCGCATCCTCGAGCTCACGCATCCACTCCCACACGGTCTCTCAATTGGCTGAAAACGCGCTGAACATAGAAAGTAGACTGCTGGTTAGCAGATGACGCCGCAAGATAGAGCCCCCCAAGATGCGCACGAAAATGACCACGCGAATACTCAACATGGAGTCACAGTGCTTCGGCATCTTCCAAGCTCGACATCATCAACAGGGGGTGACCATGGTGGATAACCGGTCCGATGGGGATAGGGCGTACTGCACAGGGATGACAGTTCCTGATCGAGAGGTAGAGGTTAGTTCACCGGTATCACGGTCTACATCTGGAAATGTTCAGCTGGTCGGATCTGGATTATGAGAGCCATTGACATTGCCCAAGGTGGATCCTATTTGCGTGACAATCGGGTCCAAAGACTGAATAGGCCTTTTATTTCCATGACCATCCTGGGAGAACGCTATGCTTCGCGTCTAGCAACTTCAAAGCAACTTCCCTCGTTGAAGCAACCCGATGGTGTCCAGCAGTACATATACCATGAACCGCGAGTGCTTGAACACCTTTTGGGGCTTGTGCCTTGACATTAGCACACCGAAGAAGAAACCGGTCAACGAATATGAGTGCCTGGATGTCTGGTGCCCCATCAACAATTCACAGCTTTCTTGCATCCCCCTTGGACATCTAACCAAGGGGCGTGAACGGAAGTACGTACCAGAAGAAGCTGATATTGATACCAACATCGCCTGAGCCCCAAAACGTCTGAAACTAGTCCATATCTTGATATGGGCGCAAGTTTAGCCCTCCTGTGAAGATGCATGAATGACGCTTCCTGTAGTTCCATTCTTCTTCCGAGATCTGCCCCTGAGGCCTGATCTACCATCGATATGAAACGCCTGTCAAAGCTACTTGGCTGAGAGCATAGCATGTCTTATTCATGGTGATGTCATGGCAATATCAATTGAAAATTCCAAAAGCTATCGGTTGTGCGGATGTACAAACCATTTCGCAGTCGAAGGTCGGCACGTGACTCAGTGAGGACGTGCGATTTCATCTGTCCTGGGATTGAACCTCACATTATAAGCTCCATCAGCCATATATATACATTAGACTAGCGTCAGGAGATTGATAGGGCCACGCACACAAGAAGGATTCGGAAAGACGTTTGTCACTTCCAGCAACTAATACCTTTGATGGTTTGATTGAACACAGGTCTTTCCATAATCGGTTCAAACGACATCACCGAGCGGTTTTCTATCATCGGCTGGCCTTGGAGAGCTGTCCCACCCCTCTCACATACGGTACAGTGATTCCGGTGGTTCGCGTTGGAATAGGGACCCAGTGTGCAGGAGCGGTGTCATTGTCAACAGCCACACTAGTAGCACCGGAGATTAGCGCTTAGCCACCGAGTTACGTTGGGGTAGGTTTCACCATCCTTGCTCGTGATAACGCAGTCATAGGTACACCTCTCCAGCCTAACCCGCCGCTCTCATATGTCATTTTTTGCTGGCCATCTGGAAATGGGTTTCTTTCTTCTCACCATAGCGTGCGCACACCTGTACGTATCACCTGTGATAAAACCATAAGGCAGAAGTATGCTTGAAAAAGACGTTCCTTACTATGAGCATTTGGCCACTGACTACTCCAGAGTACGCTGCTGCCTCAGTCGCAGAGAACGAGGCGTAAGTAATTAATATTACGCAGTGGGCCGTGACTGTGCCAAATGGGCTCTGAGAATTCCTACTAACTACTTTCACACACACAGCCACGCAGTTGCATTGCAGACTCTCCGCCGTTTTCCACCCACTCCGTAGTACGTATGGCCCACAGCCTGCCTGCTCAGAGAATACTGGTTAAAATCGGTGTCCGAGGGATTACCAAAGGCACAGCACGCGTCCAAGAATGCCCAACTGCAGTTCAATTTACGGGACGATAAGCTTTGCGCCGAGTTCTAACCGGTCCTGGAACGAGAATCTATGTATCGCCCAGTCGGATATTACTTTCCGGAGCCAAGCTATCAACGAATGCTCCATCAGGCGTGAGATACGGCCTCTGATGCGGAGCTCGATAGATATTTGCTGTAGTCAAGCGCCTCTCTTAAATCCCGGGCCAGTGCAACTACGCGTTGGCGTCTTTTGACATCCTGCCGACTACTACCTCCCCCAACCCTCTGGCCTAATCTCAGTGTTGCAATGGAGGAAGGATATGGGCTCCAAGAGCGCAGGCAATCAAAGAATGTCACTCACGTGGAAGTACTTCAAGTCAATTCAAGTAGGCATCTTCCACTGGATGTTGCTTCCATGGATCTTGTGAAACGGAGGCTCAAGCAACGGCACATACAGATGTAAGTCTGCGACAGATCTGTCAGTTTTCCTACTTATTTTTTTGGCGTTCATCCGTCTCTCTCATCATAGGATAGCTGCAAGTCGCCGAATGTCTTGCCTTTGAATCTCTTTGACCATTTTCCTAAGATCGCTGGTACTTTGGGTACGGGACTGTTTCTAGGCACAGGGGGAGCCATTCACACAGCTGGACCACTCGGTGCCCTGATTGCATTTGCCCTGGTTGGCTCTGTAGCGTATTCGTAAGTCTACGATTTGTGCGGGTTTCCGCCTATTTGATCCGGCCAGGTCATTATGTTCACTTGGGGAGATGACCTCCCTAGCGCCGATATCAGGATCATTTCCTCACTTCGGTTTGTACTTTTCCTTTTGAGGCTGAAACGATATCAACTTGCCATCACTCAGCCTCCCGTTGGGTAGATCCCGCATTAGGATTTGCAGTGAGTGAGCTACTTAAGTACTTACCTTCGACTGACCTTTCATACTCTGTAGGTTGGTTGGGTGCATATTTTATCTTCTCACTATGTTTTAACATACCTAATCAAGTGTCACTTGTTAGAATTATTTTCTTGTAAGGTTTCATTCTGTGTCCATCGAAACTGTGCCTATATATCATGATCGCCCTTTCACAAGACTAATGCGTAGGCGTATACATTTTATCACAGCTATTCAGTGATTCACATCGCCATTTTCAGGTTCTACGTCCCTGTGGAAATATCCGGAGCTCAAATACTGATATCTATGTGGGATGTGAGTTTCCTGAACTACATTTGACGTTCCTGTTGTGTCCTAAAGGTTGGAATTCTGTCTAGTCACATCACGCTGCAGTTTATACTGTAGTGATTTGTATCGTTATATGCGCCACAAATGTATTTGGTGTAATGTGAGTCGTTGAAGCCGGTCGCGCCACGTATATTCATTCCTAAATTTCAGATACTTCGGAGAAAGTAGGTCCATCATCCTTTTCAATTTACATACTAAAAGATGAATAGCCGAATTTGCTCTTTCCATTTTGAAGCGTAAGCTAGCCTTCTGCCGGTATTTGTAAAGCAAACTCACCGTGTTTATCAGTGATAATGATCATTGGTCTAATCATCGTTGGCCTCGTCATTGACCTTGGCGGAGCACCGAATCACCAGCGACTTGGTTTTCAAGTACGTGTTATTTTATGAGTGGACTAGTGAGCTAATTATCCAAAGTACTGGAGTAATCCGGGTGTCTTTGCCGGGCCTGGACTCGAACCTCGGTATCCTGCACTTAATAATTTCCTCGGAATATTGAGTGCGATCACTCAAGCCGCATTTGCTTACCAGGGAATGGAGATAGTGGCTGTGTACGTGATATCTCATTCTGGGCATATATTCACTAACAATCCGATAGTGCGGCATCTGAGACGGAGAACCCGCGGAGGAATATTGCCAAAGCTATTCGCAGAGTTTTCTACCGAATCCTCATTTTCTACGTTGAGCATAATGATATCTTACGATGAATAGCTTCTTACAGCTCAGTAGATTCTCGGCGTTTTCATTGCAGGACTCATTGTACCTTCAAATAATCCGCAACTGTTGGAGGGAACTGGTATCTTTGCCAAGTCGCCATTTGTGATTGCGATGCAGATTTCAGGAATAAGAGGTGTGTACTTGGTTTTCCATAAAATCATATCTCATTTTCCCCTGCCATGTAGTGTTACCCGCTGTAGTAAATGCAGGTTTCATAACTAGCGCATTCTCCGCAGGCAACTCGTTCCTTTTTTGTTCTTCGCGCATCCTCTATGGTTTAGCACTTCGTAAACAAGCACCCCGGTTCCTCACTATCTGTACGAGGAAGGGCGTACCAATTGTTGCAGTGCTCTGTTCGGTATGAATGAACACTAATTTAGTCCCAAGTACCACGGAAACTGATGTGGGGTCAACAGAGTGTCTTCGCTTTTTTGTCTCTGATGAGTATATCATCGGGTGCAGAAACCGTGTTCACGTGAATTTCATCAATCGCCCTGTGTTCGCAATGTGGCTCATGTCGTATCTTAGCTGGTTCCAACATCTTAGTGTAATGGGTGGTTTCTTCGGCTGGCTTTCAATTAATTTAACTTATATTTTCTTCTGTGAGTACCCGGCGTATCTATGGATCATTGATGAACTGATGAATCATACAGATCGCGGACTGCAATACCAAGGCATTGAGCGACAGAAACTCCATTACTATAATCCCCTACAAGTCAGTCAGGGTCACCAAAACGCATAAAATAATCACTGATCCGATTTCAATCTGTAGCCGTGGCTCTCCATCTGGGGCATGGTCTGGTGTATATTATTTATCCTGATAAATGGATTTACCGTGTTTTGGGATTTTGAAGCCTCTTCCTTCTTGACATCATGTAGGCCGGTCCTTCTCTACCAGGATGACGTCTGACCAGTTATCGCAGATATAAATATTCCACTATTCTTTGGATTGTTTCTCTTCTGGAAAGTTACACGAGGCACGGTGGTTTGGAAAACAGATGAGATGGACTTCATTACGGTGCGCATTCGACACGTTAGCTTACCTGGGACTCAGACTCACTTCGTAATCAATCAGGGTATTCCTAGCTGTGAAGAAACTGAACGACCTGAGATCCCTCCGAAAGGTTTCTGGCAACACGTTGCTGCGGTGCTTTTTTGACCGAAGTGACTGTCTGCTGAACATGTGAGCTATGTAGGAAATAGCATGTAATCTAATGACATAGTTTGACTCGAATGTTCGAACTTCTCCACTGCTACATTGATAGACCTAGTATGTAAACTACGGTATTCCCAGAGCTGAAGTCAGGCTAAGCGTTGCTCCAAACATTATACGCGCCAGTGCTGAAGCGCTATATCATCAAGTAGTACAATTGCATAAACAGTTAGTCTACATGCAAATCTATTCGCTGAGAACTGTGCCGCCGCAATGTGAGGAGATTGAACACAGGAGTTTTTGTAGGTACGAGGATAGCATTGGTCCCGGGCTGGTAGCAATGACTCCATCCCCACGAAGTTATTCAACCCATCCACCGAGCTCAACGACGAACCCAACAGCAACCTTTGCGAATTCAAGAGCATGCTGTTTGTATTCCATGGTCAATGATTCACGACGTAATGTACATCAATGAAAAATATCGCACCTCAAATGAAAACTCTCCGTCGGCAAGGTCTATCTTGTCTCCTGCAGTGTGGATGTACGGGTTGAATGTTTTGAATGGATCGCCCTCTGCTGCAAATATGGCAGGGTACCCCGCTCGGTACCATGACATGTGGTCTGAGCCCGCACCAGGGCTTACAACAGGTTCAGCTAAGAATGCTGCAAGAACTGTGGTACCGCACTTACAAGAGTTTTGCACTGCCCACAGCAGACGTACTGTACTCTTCTGCAATCCCAATTGCCCAGTTGGTCAGATTCGAATCAACGTCCGTCGAGATAAAGGTCACAACAGGAATTTCTCCCTTTGGTACATATGCAGTCATGTCCTAGTACCCAGTTAATTCTCAGTTCAGAATGGATGGACTTTTATGCTCACAAACTGAATCATGGCGCCTACTTCCTTCTTCAATTGCTTGTACTCCGACACGACCTCCTGGCTTCCTAATAAGCCACCTTCTTCCGCAGCATACCAGTGGAACTCGACTGGGCGTTCTGGAGCGAATCCAGATTGGACAAGAGCTCTGAACGCCTCGAGGATTGTGACCGTTCCTGAGCCATCATCGTCTGCTCCAGGTGCAGGGAGTAAGGGAAAGCGGTAATTTGCAGAGTCTTGATGAGCGCCAACGATGATGCGAGGAAGGGCTATCGTCGGATTGGGAGAAGCGCGTCCAAAGAACGGTTCAAAGCGAGCGATGATGCTGGGCTGGGGGAATATGTGAGTGAACGTCTCGACTGAGAGACGGACACCAGGAGGGGCAGCAGAGATAATCTGTACAAGCGGATTGGATACATGAGTTCGACAAGTTTAATGTGAAGACACTGACGTCCAGAATCTGATTATACAACCAGCGTGAACTCTTGACACCAAACTCCGAGCGATAATACCGGTTGTGGAACGAAGTAAATTTCTCCAAATTTTTCTTCATCTCGTCCTTGCTCAGAAGCTCGGTGACCGACGTCACCTTCTCTTGATAATGTAATTCAGGCCATGCTATCATTCGACTCTCAGCTTAATGAGAATAGAAAATGGAGGTACGAGAAGTACGTACATGATTGAGCAGACCCGTGACATGCGTGCAAATCCTGATGATCGGTGAGATCGATGAACCCGAGGCCCTGCTGTCGAAGACGTAGTTTGTCACCTTCGGTCATCCATACTGCCTCGGCCCCAAATACTTGCAACAACCGTGGAGCATCTAGTTCTGACGCGTTCTCGGGATCTAGAATACGCATAACTTGTACAGGATCATCCGCGTGGGTAGCAAGAAGCGACTCTATGATAGCGTCGCGGTCAGTTAGGGTATCGACGGTGGTTTTGCCGAGTACATCCTGAGGCGGCTGCTGATCGAAGACTGCAGCAGATACAGAGAGAACAGAAATGAGCGCATACAGCGCGGTGAATGTCCTCATCGTCTACCTGTAAGGTGGTGTCGGTGAAGATAAGAGAGCAACTAGCTATGAGAATTCTCAACCTTCAAGAAAGCACCCGGCCCGCCACAGCCGTAGTTATTCACACCCACGGTCAGGATCGCGCCAAGCACAGACCAGTGTCCTTCCTGCGATGTGTCCCTTGATGGGACTGTTTTTATCTGAAATCCGAATACTACGAATTCGTTGCGACTCCGAGGATCCTCGATCATCTTCGCCAGCTAGACGTATAATATAAGTATTGGCACGATAGGGTATGGCCGACTGACTCGATGTCAAGAGACATAGCGAGTAGGCTATGGATGCAGGTCTGGCAATAAGCTGTGATCGAATCGATTATGTTAGTGTGATCCAGCGAAAGAACCAATCATATGACACGCATTTTCACTGGTCATATGACATGTGGTTTACGTAACGGAGTAATTTCACATCTTACTGTATTATACTGGGGGTCTGCGACTCAGTACTCAGGCCTCAGGAGTTGCAACGTTGAAGCGTTGAAGCCGGAGGACGTACAAAGGTGACCAAGATGCTAGGTACATCCCCTTTTGGTCCACGGACAGGCGAATACAGTGCAATGGAAGTCATCAAGCAAGGATTATACCAGTCGAGTTGAGCAAAGACATGAGCACACAAGAAAAGCAAATAGAGAGTGTGTTATGATGTAGTAGTAAGAGGGCGAGAGATATCGATATCAAATGAACGACCTTCCAACCTTATATTAATCAATTGTCCACCAAGGATATACTGGTATCTAGGGGCTGATGTTGATGGGAGTGCAGCCAACATTCACAACACCGTCCTAAAGCACGGTCATTATTAAGCAGTTATAGGCTGTCATGAAAAGCACGTACGTATTTGTTGTTGCTGCAGCACATGGGTTCCTGGTTAGCCTCGCAGCCTGCGCCGCCACCCACGATGGTGAGAACGCTGCAGTCAAGGCCAACAAGGCCAACAAGGTCAGCAGGAATCGTGATGAGACTCGGGTCATTGGAGGCCATCAAGTTGTAGTTCTCAACCTGCGAACCATTCGTTAGCTATCTTAGTACCCCGCCACGAAAGATACATAACATACAGAAGTAGCACTCTTGCAACACTGGATGTTGCCGGTGTTGCACTGGGCATCGGCAAGAGCGAAGGCGACGAGAGAGGCAACAGCGAAGAGGCGAGCGAACATTGTTGAAAGTAGAGAATTAAGAAAGTTGGTTGAGAGGTGCTAAGAGTTCAACTGTCAAGGCTGTTCAAAGAGCGGTGAGGGAATGGAAAAAAGTCGTCTTCAAAGCCCATGTTTTATACGATTCGGAGCCCAGCCTCAGGGATTTTTTTCGGGGATATTTCCCGGGTAGTATTGCCCTACTTCTTGTTGCCGCGGTCGAATCTGAAATTGCAGAACGTAAAACACTATAACTTATAAGACGCCGAAACGCGTATCAGAGCACGTGACTTGATTTTTGGCACCTATCACGACGGTTATTGATGCAAATTTATGAGGTTTTGATAGGCGGACCGCCTTGTCAAGTCTCGACTCGACAAGGGTTGGTGGGGACTACATGCGAGCCTAGCAATTTTTACCTGGGATTATAAATTTGAGAAGGACGAGACTTAGCGTCGATAATGGCGAACTCACTGAGATCATGAGGTGCAGACTATGGCACATATGTAGCGCAACGTTCGAAAGGCGGGTGTCCGCCTGCCTATCAGCGACAGTCTTGAGTCTTGACCCTCGAACGATCTCGACCTGAGAAATATTATGATGGATATATGCGAATGATCGATCGCCAGCACTTGACCCAATATTAAGCCGGAGATTGTAAGCCACTCGGGAATTCAGGGAAAAATCAAAACATCAAGTACTCAGAAGCGTTTACGGAGAGGACGGACGGTCGAGACTCTCGGGAACAGGAAGATGTATGATATGTCGCGTCCGCACTATAGATTTAGAGCTCGGATGGAGTCCTACGGTGCCACTGGCAGGACCACGATGGTTGCTTGTTCTCTAGGACGTTCAACAACGTATAGAGATGAAATGTAACACTCTAGTGAAGCGCGAACCTGTCTTGCTGGAGGCATCACATAAGTCTTCCCAACAAGACGCAAGTCGCTCCTGTGTTTGATCGATGCGAAGAGCTTTACTCTTTGCATCCAAGACTCGCGGATGTCCCTCTACGACAGGATCAAGAGTATTCCTTGCCGACGTTTCAAAGAGTCCATCATGGTCTCCCTTCAAACTTGCGTTATGTAAGTTCTTCTCGCACAGCCGCAACTAGACTTACAAACGATATTCAGCAGAACGAGCAGCGGCACGTTGTCAAGTAAGCGAAACCCCTGGAGTCAACTGTCACCCTGCGAAGAGACTAAAAATGCCTTGGTTCAAGGTCAACTGGAGCGAATGACAAAGCAGTTCGTGGATCCGAAATACATCCGAGCTAGCTAGTTGAAGACGATATACAGATAGGGCAGCCAGCCACATGCGTCCTCCTCTGGAGAGTCATGATTTGTAATCTCTGCGAGAAGGAAGTTGGTGGGAAATGGCCTGGGGTCCCTTGTCAAGCAGGTAATCCCATTAAAACGCAAAAGTGCCAGGACACGCACATGGTTTGATGTGGACGCTGCACAAATCGGCATTGCAGCCTGGAGTCTGGACACGTCGGGCATTATCTTCCGAAATGGTTGTAATACAGTAAGACTGTAGACAACAACGTGACAAGATTCACAACCTGCAATTACGCGAAAGGGTCGTATCAGTCGGTCATATGGAACATTTTGCGTTTCGATCACGTCGGACTTACTGTGTATGCACGCTTGTTTGATACTTCTGGGCCCGGACTCCTCCTTTCCTTTCCAACGTCGTGCTGGGATAATGTATGAGTACTCACTAATGGTCTTTTCTCTCAACATCCAGGTCATTGTTGGCTATGCTTGAGTCGTGCCTCGATCCTGAGTCGTCTGATACAGTCACATGGATTTCGCATCAAATTGTGACCTGGGTTTGAAGTACGATTGGCTGTCGAGTGACAGGCAATTGACTCACAATTGACGTCGTGCCGGGATTACCGATGGCGCACGTCACGTTGAGAACGCAAGTGACTACAAATTGAAGAGGAGTCGAAGAGGAGTTGGAACTGTAGTGTCATACAGCGGCGGAACCTCCTGGGCAGAATGCGGCAGAACTCGGGATCTATGGCCTTGGCCCTTGGAAGAGGCTGAGGTTGCTGGATATGTACGTCACGGAGGTGTGTTTGAAGAGCGCTGTCCAGTACTAGTTCAGAGCCAGCTCCATTTTAATAGTCCTTTTGGGCAGAGATCCGACCGTTGATGTCGTAGTTGAAGTCAGCGGACTCGCTACAGCTAGATGGATCCGGAGGTCATCGATCACGCATATAACGCCATCTCCAACTGGATATCGCGTCAACACTTTCCTTTATTTGCCAAGAAAATCCAGAATTTCTCTTTCTCTCTCTCTCCTCTCTCGATATCGATACATTCGACACAACTCCCGTAGTCGGTTAATAGACCTTGGTTTGGCGACAAACAGAACACCAGACAACATGTCTGGAGAACGTCCGGTTTCAAGGTCATTTCTACAGAGGCTGAGTCGGGTGTATACATATGACAGTGATGATGATGGGGCGACGTTGGTGAATGTACCAAGTGAGTTTTCTGTTTCACATGTGTGTTGTATTCGCAAGAAAGATGAGTGCCACTTTGGAGAGATAATCCAGAGAACTTTGATAAGGGGTATCGCACGGCCCCGCATTCACTTCAGTACCCGGCCTCAGCTGTCTCTTTGGGTTTCCCCTTATCTCCCAGGGAAAGCTGTCTTCCGGCTGTCACTCAAATTTGAGCGCTATTGCAGGTAAAGTTCGTGCAGGATCCGACCTCGTGCACAGCATTGCTTGACTCACTTTAGGCTCCCTGTCACCCTTTCCAGCACCCTTTTTACGGCCATCTTCCTGTCCAACTTTACTCCACTTTCTTTCCTCTTGCCCATCATCATCGTTTCTCGCTGCAGAAACTAATTTATGCTCATGGCAGATTCAATTAGCAATGAGAGCAGGTCTATATCCCGGGGACGTGATTCATTTGTAAGTGCACTCGTATCTGCCAAATCCATCTAATAACGTTTTCGTGCGTCAGCAATCTTCGGGCAGAGGTGGAGCAGGTAACATTCGGCGCTCTTCCGTCTCAAGTGATCCTCGTCCCGTCGACGATCTGAATGATTCTGATTCGACTCGTGGGCGGGAGCAAGCTGTACATCCTGATAGGGTATGTTACACAGCTTTCGCTCCAAGATGCTTGCTCAGTAGATGCAGATGGTCTCTGTGGGTAGGGGTGGAGTGGGTAACATGCGCACCCCTTCTCAGGATGTCGGAAAAGACCACCCCCAGACCGTAACTATTCTTAACGAGCATGCTGCGGTTCAGGCAGGATATGAACAGCAAGTCAAGAAGCACCACGCTGAATCCAACCCGATTGTATGTCCATCTGATGTCATGTCCCGCAAACACTGATGCAAGCCAAATACCTCTTAGTATTCTTCTGGAAGAGGCGGTATTGGCAACATATCAGGCTCCCGCTCTCGTTCTCAGTCTCGTGGTCCAATAGTTCATTCCACGGGACGAGGCGGAGTAGGTAACATTCAATATGGAGCTGCTGCCACCGTCGACAACATGGACGAAGAGGAAAGAAAGAAGCATCTTCATGCTCAAGCGATGTATGTGTGTTGCATTCGATCTTGAACTTTTAAACTTATGATCCCCCTATCAGACACTCGACTGGCAGAGGCGGAACTGCAAACCTTACCAGTGTACACTCGCCTGACGTTGAACGTGTAGTCCATCATCACGCTGAATTTGAGTCCTCTGGACGGGGCGGGGCTGGCAACATACGCTCCCGCTCCGTGTCGCGCGACCCAAGTGGACGGACACCTTCCCGCGATCCCAAAGGGAAACATGGAATTACTGCTCTATGGAACAAGGTTTCCCACCCCTCGAACCCCGGCTCCGGGGATCCTGGGTCCCGGGCTGAATGACTCCTGCTTGAGCGTCTCCGCACTCCCCCTCAAATTCCTTCTTCTCCGCTTCCATCCCAAGTTCCTTACTCTCTCATGCGGAGGCGCCCGTATCTTGTTGATACCCCATCATCGCGACGGAATGCACGTTATTTCTCCTATCAGTCATCATCTAGCTCGTCATCTGACAGTGTACGGGGGATTGGCCATCTTCCAATCGTATTAGAGGATCATGAGTATGTGTCTTTTTTGGAACTTTAATATCTTTTCTTTCGTCAAGTTATCTTATTGGCTCTGTCACATTGCTCTCTTGCTTTCTGTCTGCTGGTTGGTTTTTGCATTGTTATTTCTGCTGAGGTCTCATGCTTTCCGGAACGTTCTCATACCCACTATCATGCTGTACATTCTCACACTCATTTGCAATGCGCATGTCGCCCATTCTCATCTTCGCTATTCCCATTTTATAGCTTTCCCTTCTTATCACCTTGCGCCATGCCGCCAGTCTTTTCATAGATATCTTCTTTGATGTGTGCTGTGCAGTAGACCATGGCACTCTTCCGTCATATAACCCTGTTTATCCTTAATTTGACTGTTCCTCCCGAGATAACCTCATCCCGGAACCGGTGATGGTGGCAAAACTCCTGAAGGCCCTTACCCGTTCCCGTCCCCCTTCCCATTCCACCTTACAAAGCCTTGAACTCAATTTTATTTTTTCCTGTCATGACCTTTTCTGATTGTTATTCTCTCCTTTGTAGGCGCCGTATCCGATGTGAGCGAAGGAGGTATTTACGCCGCAGGTGGGGTAGAAGTGAGGTGTGGGCGTGACGTATGGGCGGGAGGGGAATCCCCGGTAACTTTTCGAGTTTATGTTTATATTGTACTAGTGCCAGATATCGATTGTAATCCCGTTGGTCTCTTTATGTAGTTATGTTTGCGATGTAATATATGTGATGTGGAGATTTATTTTTTGAGTTCTGCTAGAGCATGTCGAGGAGCTTGTCATGGACAATGATAAGCAATCTAATAATAGCTGACATGCCCCATGGAGTGCAATTATGTAAGTGAACTATACTTTGCACACGACAAGACAAGCACACGACGTCGGACCTCATGCATCATGAACAGAGTTCCGGTAAAGATGTACATCTCATTGGCAGAGGAGAGCTGTCGTAGGAAAGCCCAATTATCCAAGGACGCCGAGTTCCACACACCAAGGATCAAATCCAGATTATTTCCAACCCGCGGTGCTCCGCCGAGTCTTCCAATGATGTATGGCTGTTGGCGGAAGTGACCGGGGCAATGCGGTGCATAGTACTGCCCAATACACCTAGAAACAGCACGTAATACATCAATCAACGTCAACTCGAACCTGGGTATGATAGCCGGAAGATCATCAGCTCGTACAGCAGGTTAGTCATACAGTTTGAGCTAGAGCGTGTTCGACGATGCATAGCCTTCGCTTCTCTTTTCTGTGGCCCATCTAGATCTTGCGATCCGATGATATAGGCACTTCGATAAAGCCCGCACAACTGGACTTGGGGGGCTTGCTGCCATCTCTCGAAGTCAACTCAACATTAAACCGTTGCATCCAGGTAGAGACTGTATGAGTGCGAGTGGATGGATTCGGTTGTAGTGTACAAGAAATTTGAAGGCGTATAGCAGCAGGATTCTGAGGGTGCGATAAGTCTGGTTTAGTTATAAGTAACTTCTTATCGATCCTTCCTATGGCCCCCGGGTGACCTGCTGGTCCCTTCAAACTTCTGTCGGAGTTATAACCCGGTAGTACGACTCTATTGGGTTTGTCTACAGGGTGCCAATAGGAGACAGGCCTCGCAAAAAGGGCTCTTCGTGAAAATATATATTTTAATAACCCCAGGCTTGGCACCTCTCCCTGCTGGAATGGATGGTCGGGCCATAGCATTCCTGCCTCGTGTCAGTAAGCGAATCTCGTCATTATCCAACCAAGTGCGCCTCAAATGTTGCCCGCCTGCGTCCAAAGATAATACAAGTAGCATGAATCTCCAGTTTGCACGCGACCAGTTGCTCCAGTTATCATCAACCGTAGAACTATCTCAGACCGGTTTAATTGTGGACCTCTCAGGAAAGACGTACACGACACTCACCAACGCCGATACCAGCTAAAATTATTGTCCAGTCGAGGACCCCTAATTCTACCGATGGACGGGAAGCTTTCGAAATATGATTGTCGGCAATTCCCTCGGTAGTGGGTGGTGCACATGAAAAATTTCCAGAGCTCGACTTAGATCGCGTCACACAACGAGCAAATGGAGTTCTTTATGTAGGATGAGAAAGGTCATTGGGCACAGCTGATGCTGCGCCATGTATTTGTCCCTGTCGAATGCCTTGATGGTTGAACTTGGCAATGCTAGGAATTGCAAGTTCGCAATGTCTGCTTCAGCGCTATCCCATCATGGTGTGAAGATATAACTCACTATGCACTATGGCCAATTGGAAGTGAGCATGTTAGATGAAGGAAAAACTTTGGACGAAGCTACCGCGCCCCGTGTTTGTGCGGGGCCCGTACTGTGAATGTCTGAGTCACTGGCCAATGGAAGTGGAATATCCGAGAATTTTAGGTGGCCACACGGTATGCAGCGACTAGTACTGTGGGACTCAAAATTTAAATAGATATGTGAGACGGGAGATGCGAGATGGGAGAGAGTTATCGGGTTGGAAGTCAAGTTGAAGCGACAAGTGAGGTTTGTCTCAGTGAGAGTCAAGTGAGAGTGAACACTGGTATATGATTGGCTGGCAAAAGCTTGCTAAAATTGGCTAGCTTATAAAAGCAATCACGATAGCATCCAAGTAGGCTAACCCATAAGGGAAGATCACATGTATCAATGGCAAAAGACATAACATCGCTGGCGCATGAACAGAGAGTAGTATTGCACCTGAAACACTGTAAAGTCAGCACGCTCATTGTACTTGTAATATGAAAGATACGAAACCAGATATCGCGAGTGACCGCGCTGCAGAAAAATACGGATTACGTTTCGGATGCCATTTGACATTACAGTGGCGACGAACCTGAAGAAAAATCTCGCACGGATCTGGAGCATCCGTCGGCGACATAATTTACCTTTTCTGCCATGTCGGTTGCTGTCTTTAGATAATCATGTACACGTCGCACCACTGGCAGGAGTATCTTGACTTCATGTCGCTACCACACAGTGGCATAATCGCGTTGACATCGCGCAACCATGTTGTCTGGAGATCCTACTAGGCCGTTTGTGGCATTCGAAATCATCTTGCAATACATACTTACTAGGCTCCAACCGTTCACTTCCGAATCAACTGTCAACTGGGCGGCCGGAAGGAAAGTTGAAGTTTGGCTTACTGGGCGGTAGTACTGGTAAGCCTCAGGTGGCTATCAATTTCAAGCCTTTCAACTCACTTCCAAGGGCAACTGACTCGGAAGTCCAACATTGGACTCGATCACTGGGATAGTACTCGGAGCCTGAGCCCACGTTGGATAGCTTCAGTGACTTCAAGTTGGCAACTCGACACTTGTGCGGGCGGTTGAACTCTCGGTGTCCACTTGAAGTTCCCAGTCTATGACGGCTCGTTCAACCAGTAGCCTGAGCCTCCGAGCCCGAGTCGCGTTTATCACATTCTGCCTACTACTAGTCATCGCTCCGAGTCTCAATTCGGATCTCACTGTTCAGGTTGGCACTTCCGACTTACAACTACGAGTACCGTCTACTACCAGCTCCATCAACTTAAAACCCAAGCCATACTCAGGCTGGTCTGAGTCACTGCCAGACTCCCCCTCGATATTTCCAGTGACTTCGGGCATTATGCCTCTTCGGCGCCACACCCGATTGAACATTGGACTCCGCATCGCCCTGACCTACACAATTTTTTTTACAAAAAACGTGGACGAAAGTGATGGACACACGCCGCATGGCAGCCCCACGAGTGCGTTCAAGTGGTGCTTCTAGGCTCCACACATAGAATTTTTTCCAGTCCGGGGACAGTACTGGCAAAGTACTGTCCATCAGAGGACATGACAACAACCAAGACCTGGTCGTCGTGCCTGAGTCGGACTCCGACTTTCTGGTAAGTTTTGAGGTCCCAGATGCGAACTGAATAGTCATTTAATGCCAGATACCGTTCACCAGGAGACAGACAAAGGGATATGACGGATTCGGTATGATGAATAATGAGTTCTTCCCGTCAATCGATTGCCCTTTTTGGATGGTGGAGTCGGGGATATATGCGTCATCCTTGGACTAACATAACGATAACGTCCAGTTGTCATGTCCCTTGTTAAGGAGCAACTCGCTGTCCTTTGACCACATGCAGATCATAGTGCCCTGGCCGCCACTTGCACACTTATCGCATTGCAGAGAACATTTGATTGTTTTCACCCATCCATTGCCTCTTCTTATGGGTGGTAGCCAGCAGTCGTGCTCCACCGTCGTACGCTGTCTTTTAATTCTCCTGCTGCCTCCGCGCCATTTGATGACCAATCGAAGCACTCTACTCCACGATTATTCCCCTCCCACGGGTGACCTACTAAGCTCCCCTCCTTTATGTTCCACTGCAGCCGTACGGTCAGCATGTACAGCGAATCAACAAAAATACTATATTCCCCGTGCTCTAACACGATCGACAAAGACCCGGAACGAATCGACGTCGTTGTACGGTGAATTCATTGCCACTCAAGAAATTGGAGATATCTGTGTCAATGTCTTTACATTCGGTGCCAACACTGCTTCTGCTGAAGACGGAATCTATCTATTAAATACACGAATGACTATTGGCCCTATCGTTGATGATGAAGGAAATCCTGCGCACTCTCTTCTAACGATGTATTGTGACCTCGTCTTTTTGCTCATTCGCACACCAGCTCAATTACGAATTATGTTCTCACAGATCGTACTCGAAGGTTATGCAACTATGTCACTGTGGATAGAATTTTGGGAGATGTTATCCATTGACCACATTCAGAGGCTCGGACACGAAACCAATGGTCATGAATTCTCCCTGCAAATCATCGATGATCTGTTCTCTCATTCTGCAAGACACCTTCGAAGTCTACAATGAACAAAGTTACCTGCGCGACAAGGGTCAGCGACTGAAGGCTGAACAACAGCATATTCTCGACTGGATTGTAGAGAGAGCGTGGTCCAGCACAGAAACAACTTCTTTTTTTCGTTGAGGGATGTCCAGGCAGGTCGAGGGTGCCGGTGAGAACGCGAAGAGACGCTGTGTCTATTTGCGGAGACAAATGAAGGATTGTCCAAGACTGTACAAATATTGTATTTCGTGACCTGCCACTGTAAACACAATTGATTGGAAAAAAGACGACCGAAGGCGTGTCTATGTTGTATGTCAAAAACCAGCCAATAAGTCACGATTGGTAAATGGGGAGGAGAATCGTGCCTCGATCAAGAAAGAATAACGAGTGGGTGATCAAAAAAAAAAACGCGGGATCTGGAGACGCGACTAGGCAAAGCTGTTCACGTGACTCGCCGCATCACTCTTCGTATCCGAGCTATGCCGCTTTCCATTTTCTTTCATTAAACTTACCTTGTGATCTCAACGCCACTCCCCTCTGCGTCCATTGTCTCATAATCATTCGGTCCGAGGACCCTTACCGTTTTGCGCATATATACAGCCAATGTACTCTCATACAGACAGCGAATTATACTCAGTTTCCCGCTCCAAAGCACCACGGAAGCCGTCTAAGCGTGGCGAACGTCTCATCACTCGTCGAAACACTGTTCTTTTCCTCTTGTCTCGTACTAAACCTAACTTCGTTCACTTTCCCCTTCGAACTCACTAAGCAGTCTGGACCACCGCGAGGGGATTGTTTTGAACACCCCTTTTGCACCCCGAGTTTGATTCGTTGATCTACTACTGATCTTCTAGTCTTTCTCTCTAGTACCCGGTCATTAGACCATTTAATCTCGCCGATTTCAAACCTCAGCAGCCTCTTGAATCCAGCTCAGAAGACATAGTATCCGATCCTCGCTTTCATCAAACGAACCTACCATCACCGTCGCATCTCACTCGCACCACTTCTTCCCTACCTTGTCCGTGCAGCCACAGCCGTTTAATCTCACTCCACGCTTCTTTCCCAAACGAACGTCTGTTTCATCCCAACCTCTCCCTGTGAACGTCATACATCACACAAATATCTACTTGTCAATCACGCCACCCATGTCGAACGCAAACGAAGGAATTTTGGCAATGCCTGGCCCTAGATCTAACAAGGCGCCTTCGTTTGACGGCGAAGCGTCCGAGCTTATTGAGTTTCTTGAATTCTTCGAGGACCTAGCCTCCTCCTGCGCACTCACGGACGAACAGAAGTGCAGGACTCTCATTCGTTATACGGACGTTCTCACCAAACGACTCTGGGTCACGCTGACGGGATACGAAAGTAGGAATTATGGCATTTTTAAACAGAGCATTCTGGCAATGTATTCTCGAGCTGAACTGGGCATACGCTATACGATCCAGGACTTGGAACATGTCGTTCTCAGTGCAGCAGACTCGGACATATCCACGGAAACAAAACTCCTCCAGTATTATCGTCAATTTCGTCCCATTGCCATCTGGTTAGAAGCCAACTCAAAGATCTTTATTCACGAGCGCAATCAGTACTTTTGGCAAGGCCTACCCCGCTCCGCACGAAGAGCTATCGACCGACATCTTCAGCTTACAGAAGCTAACTACACGAGGGATGAAGCACCTGACTTTGAGAAAGTTTTGGAGGCTGGGCGATTTGTATTTTCGGATGATGCGTTCAATGCTGATCTAAACGGCGAGCCCATTGCTAGCCACTTCAAATCAAAATGCAATACTCGTGGACCTAGGCCGAAGCCATCGCATCAGAATTGGGATTCAGACGAAGAAGATGAGAGAGAAGTACAAACCAAGCGCGTCGTATTCACTCCTCCCCCTGCACCTGTCAAATCTACCCTGGACGAAGTCGAGGCACTTGCTCGAGAGATGCATGGTCTTGACATAAGCCATGTCGATTATTTAGCATGTTATACTCGACTCGTTTACCTCGCTCCCATTGCTGCCAATATCTGGGCCGCTCCTTGCACGCATCAACTTGGCCAATGTGTCCCCAGCTACTCCCATATTTGCTCCGCCTCCCCAAACGCAATACAACGAGAACCTGTAGCAAGCTATAGACAGGCATCCTAAGACCCTCGCTTCATCCCCTCCATCGTTCGTCGCAGACATCATCAGCAACCATTCCTTCTAGTGCTTTCATATCCAAAAGTTATGTGAGGATACCATATCCTCTACGCCCCGACCATTAAGAACGTTCGAAACGGTTCATCTGTCCGAACCATCCACGTGACTCATTGATGCGAAGAAGCACCATGCTTCGCATCCGAGTCACACGGCATTCCTTCTCCCTCACCTCACTATCGTCGACAACCAGCATGGTCTCTTATTCCTTCTCACCTGATACCTTCGTTTATATAGACCCTCAAACACACACTCTCGTTACTGTTTCCCCATTCTCCCTTCACCGTACCGAAAACCGTCAAAACCGCTATGCGATTCTTGTCACTCTGTCCAAACCAAACCCTTTCGTACGCCACTCATTCAGTTTCTCGTACTTTCTTTCTCGCTCTCACTAGCACAACCTGTCAGGATTCAACGCCACTTACTCTGCCTCCGTTTTCACCTAATCAGTCGGCCTAGCCATACCCGAGGACCCTTACGGTTCGCGACTATAACTAGCCCATGTACAATTGATATCTACAGCGAATTATACAGAGTTTCCCGCTCCAAAGCAATTTGTTTCTGTAACCGATTAAATGTAGTTGAGTGTTCGCTGGCGCATTCATTAAAGTTTGCCCAGCTTCTTTGAGGTTGTCTGAACTACAACAAGATTCTGTATTACTTGATTATTGTAGATGTAGATACGGTTAGGTCGGTATGTAATTATGAACAGTTTTGTTCTATCGACATCTATGAGGTCAGCATGTACAGCGAATCAACAAAATACTATATTCGCCGTGCTCTAACACGATCGACAAAGACATCGACGTCATTGTGCTCTAACACAAGTCATCCGTCTTCGTCTGTCTTCCCTGATTGATGCTCAAAGTAATCTCATCTTCGTCTCTTGTCTTGAGAGAACAGGGATGCAACTGAGAGAGGTCCTCCAATACGATCGGGGCGCTTTCAGCACCTGTAATAGTCGTAGCGAGAGGGTCCCGAACGCGCTTCTTGGGCAGTGATCCGAAAGTTACGATGGACCCCGGAGTCGAGTCATCTTCTGCACTTAGTAACCGGAAGAAGAAAGCGATGACGACGCTCAAGTTAGCGACGATCAGAGACACGGAAGCCTAAAGCATGATCAACAGCGCTCGAGGTCTATACGCTGATACCGCACCTCGACTATAGCAGCCATGATCACCTTTGTCCCTCCACTGGAGAAGATGTAATATGCATGGACGAGACTGACGATTGTGGTTATCATCGATGCAGAGAAGACAGCTAGTACCCGGATTTTTTGCGGGCTCGACAATCTGACTCTGTAAATGAGGGAGAATGGAGTGAAGATGAGGACAGCGTCTCCTAGAACGTCGGCTGAAATGCTACGTCAGAAGACCGATGTATTCGATGAACAATAAATCCTCACTGATTATCTGCGCTATCGCAACACTTCTGCCGATATCGCATTGCGGATGTGGTTGTCTTTTCCAGTCGGACTTGGCTTCACAAACCCACCACAGTTGTGAAAAAAGTAGAGCCCATACGACGCTGAAGGTAACGGCAGTGGATATGAGAGCCTTCCTAATATAAGTTCCCGGGACTGTGAGTCGCACAACGGTAAACAATATGGATAGCCTCGATGTCCTGTGAGTGCACGTCAGCCCCGCCACTTCACTATGCCACCGCTAGAGCGTCGGTGTCTTACCATACGACTGCGTAAAAGGACTGGGCAACCCTGATGTGGTATTTGCAACGTCTCTCAAGTATAAGAAGAAGGCATAACGCACATATAGTATAATGCTATCCTTGTGTCTTGAGGGTACCTCTCTGGGTTTCTTCAGCAAGATGTATGCGACGTCCACACTGGGGAGACCCTCACCGTAGTATTGCAGATACAAGCAATCGGCAATTAATAACATGAAGGTAAATACCATGCTGAGGGCCGCCCACATATCGTCAATCCACAGACGACGCTTCCGCGCACGAAGACACAAGCGGAGGGATGTGACAATGACAGCCACGATCGCGAGGACGATATTTACAACTAAAAAGGAGTGTTACCTCAAGCGACACAGCAAGTCAAGCAGGCAGACTTACCTTCGATCTGCGCAAGGGTGGGGCCTGAGGACGACATGATACGCTCTCTGGGGAGTTAGGATGGACGAACTGCATAACCTGTATGAGATGTTATTTGAATTTATACAAAAAGTGTTCCTCAATCCAAAATTTTTGAAAGTCGTATTCGTATGGACCAAGTTGGTGATCCTCTCGTAAATGAAGTAATACATACACGACCTTAAATGTTTCCTAATCTGTTCATCCCCGCGTCGGCTAAACGTCAGCATGGAGTCCGCTCATCATACAGTGCTGTCGCAAATCTGATGGTCGTCTACTATGTAGAGCCCTGCTTAGTTCTAGTTACATAACCCTTGCGATACACATTTCCTTAATCGAAGGCTTTCATATATCAAGATACCGCATGTTTCATATGCATCTTGCCAGACACTAAATTTAAATAGCCTGTGCTAGCGCTGAGCGCTGATCAGTGTCATGGATGTATTACCGCTATTAGATAGGCCAAATTCAACTCACCGCCTTTGTTTAGGTTTGGAGGGAAACAAAAGCTACCTCCTCGCCTTCCCTGATTGTGATGTCACATATTTCTAAATTTGAGTCGGGCTACTACAGGAAACACCTGTGTGTGACCATAAACATTACTTATTAGTAATAGTGACGCTATCAGATGTTTGCTACTAACTAGGGGCGAGAACCTGCCAGATCAGTAAACTACAATGGCCTTGTACAGCTCCTACAGAGTGCTTCAGTGCCACAGCTTGGTCCCTTCTGTACAGAACATCCCAGAAACAAAGTAAAATAAACCAAAACAAAATCGCATTTTTGGCATTTTAAAATGCTAAAGGCATGAATTGAACTCGGAACACTAGAAGCCCCAGTAACAACACGTAGTTACCAGTGCACCATATTGCCTTTCATATTTATATGATATGATAACATTTATATTACTATGTTTCCGGGACGTTAGAAGGGACCAAGCTGTGGCACTGTAGCCCATTGTAGTTTACTGATAAGTTCTTTTTCAATCCAGCACGCTCAAGCTGGACCATAAATTGCAGAGCTATGTCTGCACGTGATTCAGATTTTGGCATCGCGGCTTATTGTAATCGGTCTGAGGGTCCTAGTTACGATTCTTCATTCAGAGTCTTCGTCTCTACACCATTGTTCTCTATTATTTATGTATCTTATCTTATCGTATCACGTTTTATTGCGTCACTATATCCACTATTATTTGGAAATCACATCAAATCGCCCATATTTGACCTTGCTTCGCAAGGTAACGTTGCTGGGAGGTTCTGTAAGGAAGGGACCAAGCTGTGGCACTGTACAGAACTGTACCGAAGATTGCAGTTTACTGATGCTGCCCAGCTTCTTTAAGGTTGTCTGAACCACAACAAGATTCTGCATTGCTTTAATATTGTAGATGTAGGTCGGTATGTAATTATGAACAGTTTTGTTGGACTATCGACATAGGTCAGCATGTACAGCAAATCAACAAAATACTATATTAATATTCCCCGTGCTCTAACACGATCGACAAAGACCCGGAACGAATCGACGCTCTAACACAAGTCATCCGGCTTCGTCTGTCTTCCCTCCTTGATGCTCAAAGTAATCTCATCGTCGTCTCGTGTCTTGAGAGAACGGGGATGCGGCTCAGAGAGGTCCTCCAGTACGATCGGGGTACTTTCAATACCTGAAATAGTCGTAGCGAGAGGGTCCCGAACGCGCCTCTTAGGCAGTGATCCGAAAGTTACGATGGACCCCGGAGTCGAATTCTCTTCTGCACTCAAATGGAAGAAGAAAGCGACGACGACGCTCAAGTTAGCGACGATTAGAGACACAGAAGCCTAAAACACGATCAGCAGCACTCGAGGTCTGTGCAATGATACCGCACCTCGACTATAGCAGCCATGACCTCCTTTGTCCCTCCACCAGAGAAGATGTAATACGCATGGGCGAGACTGACGATGGTGGTTATCGTCGATGCGGAGAAGACGGTTAGTACCCGGATTTTTTGCGGGCTTGACAATCTGACTCTGTAGATGAGGGAGAATGGAGCGAAGATGAGGACAGCGTCTCCTAGAACGTCGGCTGAAATGCTACGTCAGAAGACCGATATATTCGATGAATAATAAATACACACTGATTATCTGCGCTATCGCGACACTTCTGCCGAGATCGCACTGCGGATGTGGGAGTCTTTTCCAGCCGGGCTCAGTTTCACAAACCCACCACACTTGTGAAAAAAGTAGGGCCCATACAACGCCGAAGGTAATGGCGATGGATATAAGAGTCTTCCTGATAGAAGTTCCCGGGACTGTGAGTCGTACAACGGTAAACAATATGGATAGCCTCGATGACCTGTGCGTGCACGTCAGCTCCGCCACTTTTCGATGCCACCGCTAGAGCGTCGGTATCTTACCATACGACTGCGTAAAAGAACTGGGCAATCCTGATGTGGTATTTGTAGCGTCTCTCAAGTGTAAGAAGAAAGTATAACGCACATATAGTATAATGCTATCCTTGTGTCTTGAGAGTACCTTTCTGCGTTTCTTCAGCAAGATGCATGCGCCATAGACACTGGGGAGATCCTCACCGTAGTCTTGCAGATACAAGCAATCGGCAATTAATAACATGAAGATGAATACCATGCCGAGGGCCGCCCACATGTCGTCGATCCACAGACGACGCTGCCGCGTACGAAGACACAAGCGGAAGGATGTGACAATGGCAGCTACGATCGTGAGGACGATATCTACAACTAAAAAGGAGTATTAACTCAAGCGACACAGCAAGCCAGGCAGGCAGACTTACCTTCGATCTGCGCAAGGGTGGGGCCTGAGGACGACATGATACGTTCTCTGGGGAGTTAGGATGGACGAACTGCATTATGTATGAGCTGTGATTTGAATTTATACAAAAAGTGTTCGTCAATCCAAATTTTTTGAATGTGGACTTGGTGATCCTCTCGTAAATGAAATACATACGCGGACCTTGAATGTTTCCTAATCTGTTACCCCCCGCGTCGGCTGACCCTTAGCATGGGAGCAACGAGTCCGGTCATCGCACAGTGCTGTCGCAGATCTGATGGTCGTCCACTACGTAGAGCCCTGCTTAGTTAACCCTTGCGATACACATTTCCGTAATCAAAGGCTTTTGAATACTCCATATAACGTGATAATGAAGATACCGCATGGTCAGCCTGTGCCGATCAGTGTCTGTATGTATGATAGAAGTTTAAAATGTCCGTGTTTATGTAAGCTGTCAATGAAAAGCTATAGCTAGGGGCTAACGCTGCAATGACAATGTTGCACCGCCGTTCGATCAACTTTATGCAAATACTGCCGTCTGCACAGATCTGCGAAACAACCACCGATCAGTTCGATCATGCGACGCCATGGGCTCTACCTACATGGCTAGATGCCATAGAAGAAAATCACGAGGATAATTCTTGGCTGAGACGATGTTCCACGGTCCATCGCAGCTGTTCGATTCATGGACGAAGTAAAAGTTTTGGACTAGTCTCAAGTTCACTCGGAACTCCGGGAGCCGCCAGGAACCTTGAACCGTGGGGGGAGTGCTGCAACTCGTGATAACAAGCTGATATGAATTATAAGAAAAGGCTGTAACAGTAATACATACTAGCACTGAGGTGACCGAAATTCGTATGGTATACTATAGCTGAATAGTCGACTCATCGGAATTTAGGAACAGCGTCTATAAAAAGGACTTGTTAACAGAGCGCGAATGTGACACGGACAGACTGAGTCACCAACGAAAAGAAAAAAACAGTTAAAGTAAATTTTAAAACCGTACCACCAAAAAGTATTGTCCTCAAGCGCTGTAGCAAACATGTCACCGCTTGCATCAGACATTAGTATATGCAGCTAGCTAGGCTCTTTTGGTCGATAATTCATTGGGATCGACTCGGACATATCGCGATTGTGCGAGAAACGGTCTTGTGTGGTCCTACTGCCAGATTGACAAGTTGAAAGAACTAGATGAGAAGACGAAAGAATATGATATTCAGTAGAGAAATCACGGCACATTGTCAAGTAAATGAAGTCTCAAAAGTCCTGCAATCAAATGTCAACAAAAACAGTCTTCCAAAATTTACAAAAAAAAATACCTGAAGATCGGCTGGAGGGAATCACGAAGCGGTTTGTGGATCCGAAAGACATTGACAAGTGGGACTGTCAAATACAAAAAAAAACCCCGAAGATCGGCTGGAAGGAATCACAAAGCGGTTTGTGGATCCGAAAGACGTCGACAAGTGGGACCGTCAAAAGGCCAAGTTTATAATTTTGCAGAATTGGAGCATGTCTTCCACCGAAATCTTGACGAGGATATCATCGCAAACACTGTTCCCACCTCACACGACGACGGACGGTGGGATGTGGACACGCTGATATCTTCTGATGGTGTTTCCTAGTGACATTTGCTATACATTAACCGTTTAGTACTTTGAAACTGTTGCTGCCGATTATGCCGGCACAATTGCCCACAAATAATTCTGCTCCCAACACGCCTTCGGGACCAGAAACCTTATCAAGCAAAGCAATAATCTTTCCGATCAACAGGACTTCTGAAGACTTCCAGACCATGGGGATGATCTCCATTAGGACACAACTACCGTTGTGAAATGTCAACGCCTAAAAGGTTATGTAAACCAAGTGAAAGCGCCATGAATTCATAGTACAGTGAATAAGCTTAACAAGTAACTGCGAGAACAAGTTGCAAATGACGACGATCTACACCTTGAAAATCATGAGTCCCGAAACGACATGTCACAAGACAAAATGCACGGACTTCCTAAAGTGCCGTGAAACTCCTGATCACGCAATCTCCATCTTCGTACTCGCCTCCACCTCTAGAACCTTGAGATGCGTGAGACCACATGCCCCACGGACCCAATCGCGTACTAGGCGGTATTTTCGTGTTTGAGTGCATCCAGGGACGTCACACTGTGGCGTCTCTTTTGGTAGAGGTGGCTGTGGTGCCAGCAAAGTGCTGGAAAGAACAGAGATAGGCACGCCTAATGTGAGGCGCATCTTGCCCTGAGCAATATCCTCCCGTGGTAGAGGTCGTGTGCTGGACACCCACCGCCAAGTGGTCGGTAGCACGACCTCCTTTTCCTCTTGCTCGACCTCACGCTCACCTTCAGATGCACTGGCCTCTGCGGTGGAGAGCGCGCTGCGCTTGGCCTTTGACTTGGACTGCTTTTTGAGGAGGCGGTTGATAGTCTCTGCCTGTAGGGGTGAGAGGGGATGACAAATAGAATATCGGATGTTCATTTGATGGTCCGTGAAGTTACGAAAAATGTTCAATTCCCTCCTAGACACAGTAAATATAACTGACGAACCTTCTCGTCCTCGAGCTTTTTCTCAGTGAGATTACGACGTTTTCGTGCCGTTTCTTCGCGTCGAAGTGCAAGCTCGCTCTCTGTGAGTTGTTTCTTCTTTCGAGAGGATTCGCCAGTGGCTGTCAATGAAAGTTAGCGCTCAGCGGCTAGGAAAATGAAATGTGTAACATGGCAACATATGGAGATACCAGTACAACAATCAGTCAGAGAAATGTTCAGGAACTCGAAGCGAGAGTAAAGAAGCAGACAACAAAGGAACACACATAGAGATACATGCGAAGAACCAACAACACTCGCGAGAACCGCCTGACGGGAAGTCATCGGGCGCGTAGAGCCCACCGCCTCCCCTTCGTCATCTTCATCTTCTGACTCTACGTCGATATCTACGCGTCATAAGCTCAACAGTCAGTCGCGCGCGCGAGAGGAGGACTACGCAGGACACACCACCAGAACGCCCACGCGATCCAGCATCTTCAGTGCTGGGCGCGCTCGGTAGCTTGAGTTTGATCTTAAGACGGGGCTGCTTGGGCGGAGATGGAGGAGGAGAAGCCTCCTCAGACTCTGGAGCATCCTGAAGACATGGTATCAGTATTCAGTATGCTAATAACCAGAAATATATGATATCGACACACCTCTGGTTCAGGTTCAGGTTCTTCATCCTCGTCCTCAGGCTCTAGTTTCTCATCTTCCCCTTCATTGTCATCGTTTTCTTCTTGGAGCTTCCGATTCACCTCATCGACCTCCATTTCCGCGTCAGAGCCCGAATCCGACATTTGCATATCTGCTTGTAGTAGTCAGCGTCAAGTGAGCAGACACAGTATATTTAGTCGAGGTGTGGGAGCGGGAAAGCGGAAGAAAGACGGTCGTGAATCACAAACCTGAACCGTTGTACTCGTCGTCGTCATCGTTAGACACGCTTCTGACGACTCTCCTCATCGTGTTGCATCGATGCAAAGAAATTGAAACCCAGATACCTTACACAGGACATCGGCAGTGCCTCCACATAGTTCAACAATACACCAACACATCGCAAACGACCATGCTCGACTCGTTCTATCGCCTATAGCCTATAGCCGTGCCGCTTAGAGGGACTCATGAGCTATGTGCATGAGCACAGTGATTTCTTGATTGCAAGTCTCGATCGAAGGACACTCTAATCACAGGTGGCAGCTCCACTGTAACCGAAAATCGGAGCACATTTATCTCCGAGTCATAACTCAAAATGCGGTTTCTGGTTCACAACACAGATCGTTGCATCATGCATCGATGCATCATGGTCGGGTCTGCCTATCACCGCTACAGCTCGCACCGCCTCTGGGTACACAGTGACTACGTAGTACGTATTCTTCAGCCAATAATGACGTCTCTGTTGTATATCCGCTGCTTGTTGCCACTATAGCTATATGAATAATACGAACAACGCGTCGTGAATTCGAATCAGACCCTTATTTTTGGCCGATGAAGCGTTTTTGCCTCACTCTGTGGTGTTGCTTGATCCAGACCTGCCGCAGTGGCGGCAGTGCCCAGGGTGACAAGCTGATGAGTCGTCGTTATCGATGACCGGTTCATTGAAGTCCAGTTCGAGCAAATTTCTGTCGGATCTGAATACAGACCGGACAGGTTCTGAGGAGAACCTTTCTGGACCCTGTTCAGCAGCGTTTGTTTGACCTGCATCAATGAATCATGAACCATCGTCCCACTCTTTACTGCGAGCTTGGCGCGAGTCTGTAGTTGCATGTCAAGGAGAGGCCGCCACCAGTGCACCCAATCAATTTCAGATGCCATTCTTAACTCTTGGATGCAACAGATTTAGTTATGATAATCACACTAGTACTAACTAAGGTCTGGCCGGCTGAACGACTGAACAGTTTTCAACATCACATTTCACAATTTGAACATTACATGCAGGTTCCTCAAGGGACCAGACCAGTTTGAACGGTTACAAGAGTTAGAAAACTATAACACGGGAGGTCCGGAACTAAACAAAATATGGACCGGACGCGGTTCACATCGATGGGGATATCATAATTAATTATTAATATAAAACGCAAAGGTGGAAATAGATTTTCCGTGCCACCCCACTTGACAAGTTGAACGTTTGAACCTCACTGCATGTCAGGCCTTCAGGGTCTGATTCAATTAATGAGATTCACCACAGGCCCTATAGGATCACCCAGTGACTAAATCATGATGAGGTTTGGTTGGCCATCCATTGCGCCAACGTGTGGCATGCTGCCAGGTGGCAGGGCGCTAGCATAATTTTAGAGACGGTCCCTCAGCCATGCCGCGCATATTAGACGCGGACAGCTGTTCTTAAACCTGCTCGCTGCTGCTGACCCTTCTAACCAGCGCAGAGCAGACCACCGTTTACTTACTACTATGGGTTGCTGCGCATCATTTTTTCGAAAGTCCCAGCGTCAAACTGTGAGGCATTGATTTTCTCAGTCGTTAGAGACAACCACTGATCCTACCATCATATTGACAGGTTGAAAATGGCAATGTCAGGTCTGTAGACAGTGCTGCCGCCTTCGCAGATCCTGCAATGTGAGTTTTCAACCAAGGACCATGAAGAAATGGTTCTCTCATGCTATAACTTGAACAGCCGCCCATCTACGATACCAGTCGTACCAGTGTCAGTACTATCTGATATTACCACTCTGCAGCCGTATGTCTAATCACCATATCATGGTGGATAGCGCTGAACATGCAGGCTACAGAAATGGACCCATACCGTCCAACATAGTGAATGATAATCTTGCATCGTAAGTATCTCGCACAGCTCTAGGTTATAAGACACTTCCTCACGAGATAACAGTAGCGCCGTGATTATGATACAGCCGATTACCCCCGGTGCACGGCCGTAAGCGCAAATTTCTTCATAAACTGCAGATATTGAGACACGAGACACAGCGTGGCCTTCGATGCGGACCCGTATGCCATTTCGCCTACATCCATCAGGAAGCAATCAGAATATCCCACGTCATCTGGCGGCTTGGGCGATATCTGGAAGTGTTCAAGGATTATCGATTCAGCAACCTCTACTGAGGTACATATGATGTTACCCTCAGGCTGCGAATGTCGCCGACTCACATCTGCTGGACAGGTTGCTGTCAAAACTATCAGGATTACAGACATACGTAATGAAGAAGCCGTTAAAAAAGCGGAGAAGGTATGTTGACATTCATTCCGTAATGTGAAGACATCGAATACCTGTTCGCAGAGACTTCGCCGCGAGGTAGCCGTATGGATCAGACTGAGGAATGCGCATATTCTCACCCTTCACGGCACGGTCTCCGGTTTTGGACAATTGCCTGCTCTTGTTTCAGAATGGATGCATAACGGGGCACTTGATAGTTACCTGGAGCACACGAACCTCACCATGGAACAGAAACTAAAGCTGGTGAGATTTATCATGCCAAATATAAGTCTTTACTCAGTGGATGCCTTTATTTAGCTGAAACAGGTAGTGGATGGCTTGAGATATCGTACGGAATCGCCATTCCAGATACACGTTTTCTCTCTGACAACTTCTCTAGTTCATGAACAAGAAGTAATTCATGGGGACCTGACCAGTGTATGCACTCTTCGATGCTTTGGAGTCCTTACTAACTCTATAATTGGAAGAAAAATGTTGTGATCCACCGCAACGGCAATGCATTTTTGACAGATTTCGGTCTCTCAGTGGCTCTCGCAGAGGCAGACAGATCGTACTACAACTCTCATTCGAGTGGCGCTGTCCGGTGGTTAGCGCCCGAATTGATCGGCTCATTGGAACCAGAGAGCACTCCAGATGGTAGTGCCAGCGATGCCGATCTCCCAAAGCCAAACAGTCAGAGCGATGTATTTTCGCTCGGTTGTATCATGCTCCATGTGAGTTGCGTATGCTGGACCATGTTCGAGGTTTACCTGAACATTGCTTCGTATAGGTCTTCTCGGGTAAACAGCCCTTCTGGTGGCTTCAAAATGTTCAGCAGGTATTCAGTGCTCAGTTCAAGCGCGTAGAGCCATATCGGCCTGAACCTAGTGTGACCGTTAACCAGCCGCATCTGGATTTCATGCGCAGATGTTGGTCAGCAGAGCCTCAAGTTCGTCCTTCCACTGGGGATGCTGCTTCCTTTGTAGAAGAAGAGCTAGCCAGTGTTCCTTTTCACTAGTTCAGCGCTCGATGTATGTTATGGTACGCTTTGGATATAGATTGCGGTTGTAGCTCACCTATATATAAAGTATCTCGATGATCGTTGATTAATATACTCCTTATTTTGAGTCTTATTATTATATCACCGAGCACAGTACATGTGTACGCAGCATGCTAAATTATGATGGCTTGCAAGTTGTGTTTGACAAGTTCACCAGTCCACGGACTTTGCGGCCGCCACGTAGAGCAATCAATTTAAATCTCCGACCGTTCAACCTACCGCACTACCTTTCACTTTTCGACTTGTCACTGTGCCAGCGTCGCCATGTCAGCTCAATATCAGGCACTCTCGACCGACGATTCCGCTGAAATAGGAGTTGATCCACAACTGCGGTCTCAAATCCAGCAACTCCATGCAGATCCCCGTTTTAACCACCCTGCACCTTCGCTCTGGAAGCGCATTGCACTCCTTCTCGTGATTGCATTCCTCTTCTGGGCTGCATTCCAGGTGCAGCCCAAGAGATCACAACCTAAGGTCATTCATGCTGAAAGGTGAGATATCCTTCTGTGTGCAAACTCCATATTTTTATGCTTTAGCGAATGGTGCAGAGTCTGACTCTCCTCTTGCACAGATACTCGAAGGATTACAAATACCGTCCAGCAGCGAGTCCTGTCATTACGGAGCGACTCAAAGATGGTGTGGTCCGCCTTCGTGGGGCATATTTCTAGGCGTACGGGTATCGTTAAGGTAGATTTCACACCATCGCAGTACTTTGGTGACTGAGCTCACCTTTCATGGGGACATGTTCAGTCTAGTCGTTGTATATGTTAGATATCACTATCATTCCCGAGCTTTAGTCTCGTCGGACTTATTGCCGTTCGCTTCTTTCACCTAATAACTACACTCGTTTTCCAGAACTGGGGATTTTGCCCCTCCTTTTTTCGTGGATGGGTATAACCCTCAACCGTGGACTTGATCATGTATTCACGGATCTAGAGTTTGCAGACAATAATTTCATACCTCCATCGTCTTTGCATTCTATGCTTTTGATTGTGTTTTCAAGCTTACTTCCAATAGTTTGTGTTCATGCACCTTGCTCGTCGCTGTCACGATTCTCGCGTAGGTAAGTTGGTCGCGAAACTTGTTGGGTCCGTCTAACACATATTTCAGGGTCGTAGCTCAGCAGTCATCATCTTGATGGACTGGAGAATGAGAACTGGAGGGTTGAAACGAGATCGCAAACGGGAGGCGACGCAAAGTACAGTTTTTGGGACAAATTGTACTGTGCATTGTGGTGACCTGTCTTTTTGTACGCGAGAACATCCGTGATTCGGCATTTTCTGGAGTACCCTATCAGGATTGCGTCGTCATCCACTTTGCACCGCTCCATAATTCCCTTCGTCTATTTTTCGGTTGTCACTGCTCCTCCAACGTGTGTCGGTCTTGACGAAGAAATTATCGTTCGTGATCGTCTATATTATCTGATACTGGAATCAATCCATTGTCCTAGAAACCTGGTTACCCGAGCGATGAGACACTGAACCGATATCTTACGCGTTAGCGTCTTGTACCCCCTGCATGCCCCTAACTGGTGCATCTCAAATGCAATCTCATCAGTTTGTGTAGCGATGGCGTGGCAGGCCACCACTAAGTAAAGGCCGATATGAAGCCCTCTTCACCTTCACCTCCTTTCCTGTCAGACGGACGTCTATGAACTTTGTGCAGTCGCACCAAGCTTCAGGATATGGTGCATGTGATATCTGCTACGCACTTCAGAACCCACTCATTATCAGCTCCAATACCCAATACATCACACTGATAAGTCTGCGTTCAAGCTACGTTCGTAAGGAATATCTCACAGGACTTGCAATAGTCTCATCACATGGAGGGACTAATTCGAGGTGGGTCGATGACGGACGAGACAGCTTGCTATCACATATGATGGTTCTCCTGTGGCAGCAGCAGAATATGCCCTAGTGAGTCGTCTTGGCCCGGACAATGTGCGCCCACCGCAGCTTGTCTTGAACTGTTGTCGGCGTGTCTGGCTCGTCTACGGACTGGCGTGTTTGAAAGCAAGGCAGTGTTTACGAATTCGAACAATTACAGTGATACCATTTTACACACATCTCCCATTCAAACCATCAACCACGCCAGGCCCATCATCATTCACACACGATGATGCCACCAACTCAGACTCACTCACTATCCTCATCCTTCAGCGCACCCATAGAAGCCTCCACTACATCCACCCTCTATCATCAATAACTCGCGTTGACTCATGCATGAAATGATTTCGCAAAAGAACCACAATAACCTCCATGATAAACTTGTGGAAGGACTAGTTCAATGCGGGCCGACGACGAGCAAGATAAAATCCACAGCATCCTATCAGAGGTTCTCCTGCTTCGAAATCAGGACTTTGCCCTTGAACACCTTGTCCTTGAGACCTTTGTGTCCCCACTACAGCTTGTCCTTGCTGCGTTGAGCTGTCGACATTGTTGCTATTCGTGCGTTGCATAGCTGCTTCTGCTTCTGCGTCGGTTTCAGGGACAATGCCATATCTCTGCAAAATTATTTGAGTAACCCATGTCACAAAGGGTAGTGATGACAAACGACTTACGTCTTCCTCACGGCAAGGAGCAACAACAACAGGGCGCGAGGATATTCTCCCAGGAAATAAACTGAAATTCAGACGCCGGGGCTGGAGCTGAATCGTATTCGTAGGTCGAGTGCCGGAGCGCAGGAAGCCGAACAAATTGCGCAGACTAGGCGGAGATGATGTGTCTGCTGAGCGATGAGACGGCTGGTTTGTGTCATCACCCCAGAAGTCATTTCCCTGTCTTAGTGTCAGACCTGGCAACACTTCAGAAAGAATACAGCTAGACTCACATATCTCGCCAAGCCTCTGTTCGATTTATTGGTTTGCCGTCTGGGGGTAAAAGAGATCTAATGTAGATACACGAGTGAAGAATCAGGTCGTTCGAGATTAACTACCATACATCTCTGAATGGAGCTGCACGTCCCTGGAAAGAAATCAGAAGAGGTACGAAAGAAAAGAAACATTACTCGCCTTAGGCTTTGCTTTGGACTCTGGATCTGCATCGTTCTGGGCGATGCACAAAACTATTTAGAAAAGACAGTGACTCAAGTTATGTATACACGCACGCCAACCCCACGAGCGTGCCGGATTGCTTCTTCTAAGTTCCACACATAGATTTTTGCATCCGGTCCGGCAGTAGCACTAGCAAAGTATTGTTCGTCGGAGGACATGGCAACAACGTAAACATAGTCGTGATGCCAGAGTGGGTCTCCGACTTGCTGATTGGATTCGAGGTCCCAGATGCGAACTGAGTAATCACCTGATGCGCTGACAAGATAGCATCCATCAGGAGACAGACAAAGGGAATCAACGCTTCTGGTGTGACCCCGAAAGACGATGAGTTCTTTCCCGTCGATGGATTGCCATTTTCGTATGGTGTTATCATATAAGGCAGAGAAGATGTATGCGCCATTCTTAGACCAACACAACGACGTCACCGAGATGTCTCGGATCTCGATGAGCAGCTCGCCGTCCTTTGACCATACGCGCATGATGAGGTCATAACCGGCACTCGCAAATTTGTCGCCTTGTGGAGAGTATTTGAAACTCGTCACACATTGATCGTTGCTCTTTATCGGTGGTGCAATTTGTCGGCCAGTAGCTGGGTTCCATCGTCGTATGGTTCCGTCTCTTAATCCACCTGCTACCTCCGTACCATTTGGTGACCAATCGAAGCACTCCACTCTATCATTAGGATTCCCTTCCCACGGGTGACCTACCAAGCTCCCCTCCTTTATATTCCACAGCCGTATTCCTCCGCATATAGTACCTACGACCATCAATTGGTCTGGAGACACTGCTATTCTTCTTATATAATATGTTCTGTCGCTGTTGACTCTTGAGAGGGTTTCCCACCGGCCGTCCAGCTCTGGTCCACTGGCGAATTGAACCATCCAAGATAGTGCTCATTATATTGCCACTGCCCAAGCAGGCAAGGTTTCCGGTATGCCACGACCTGGCACCCTTGATGGTGCACTCTGGCATCAAACTGCCTGCTGGACGTTCTGGTGCTGGTTTCTTCCACGATGTGCTCCGAGTGTTGTGGTTGACGAAGTAAGACCGACCGAATGGTGAAATGTGCCACTCGCATCCATCAATGAGCTGCTCGTAGTGATCTACGCTCGACAATGAATGTTTTGCTCTCATCGCACTTTCATTGCTCACCTAATCGCACTCCTGGTAAAGGTCGGCGTGATGAATACATGCGGAGTAGATCATCTTCATAAGTTCGTGTTCCATCTGACCATATATTTTCACACCATGAAGGAGGGGGCGCCTCATTCCCTCCTGCTTGATATTGAGTCAGTCAATTGGTTTAACAATATGCTGGCTGACCTTCCCAAAGTGCATCCTGGCGGTGCTGTGCACCATAGGCTGGCGGATTCTTTTCGCCCATCAACGGTGGGTCATGAGAGAACTGATGAGAAGAAGGAAGATATTGTCATACATCATAATGTATCGTAATATACTCACATTCGCGCTCAGGAGAACTGGTATTGATGAGTCTGATATCAATCCTTGATCTACCTCTCCCTGTTTCGCTGACGTGCTTGTGATCTTTGCATGCGGCATGACGGTTATCGGGATGTAGGCGATAGTGAAGGTAATGAAGAGACCCCGTTAGATATGCTGTTTCACATGCTATACTTGCAGGCGCCTTGATCACGCGATATCCTGTGCAGTGGGATCATAGGCGTTAGTTCTTACTAAGTAGACCAAACGTTGGCCAGCATGATTCAGCACTAGTGTTCTATATTCAGCGAATTGTATTTCTTGATGCATTCAGAGACTGCACATTGTGCAATGAACGTCATCTAACAGGCGCAGAAACAATCACGATAATATCTAAATACATATCTGGAACAAAGTCTACGATCAAAGCTCATTCAATGCATCACAATCACTCACATCTGACGGCATCACCAACCCGCTCTCACACCCACTATCCACATCTTCCAGCCCATCCGACACAGCCCTCAAATCCTCCACCTCCTCAATGCCACAGCTCAAGCGCACCAGCCTCTCAATGCCCAAAGCCTCACGCTCCGCCGGCGGGATACTCGTATGCCCCATCCGTGCAAGTAACACTCAAAAACGCACCACCCAAACTCTCAGCAGGCGTGAACAGCTTCAATTTCGGTCGGCAGAAGCGCCTCTGCACTCCTTTACACCACTACGTAGATGAAATAAGACAATTCCACCATAAGGTATACCATGCGTAAGGCTCGATGGTGCCAGCGTGCTGAGAAACTGCTGCACGAGTAGGCTGAGGGAGGTGCATGCCAGCTGCGCCTGCCTCCCGACAATGTAAGTGTGCATTCTGAAGCATTGCAGTGCCCGAATGCGAATACGCAGTTCGGAATTCCTATTCACCAGAATGGAACATGTTACTATGCTATGGTGTGTGATAAACTAACGCACGAACCTTGTGTATATCTGGGAGTGTTGATGAATTGGCTGCAATCTTGCGAGTTAGTCTCGTGTCATGCAAGATCGCGATTAGTCCATATTCGGTGCAATGTGTATCTGCGTTACGGTTTCATGACTTGTCAGACAATAAGATAAGCAACGAGAGATGGAAAGACTGACGTTGATCTGAACTCATTGGCGATGATAGATTTTGATACAGATGATAAGATCGATTCATTGGATAGAATAGCTCAGGGAAATACTGTTGTTGTCATATATCACATGAGCCAGTGAGAGATAAAATGTCATTATTGAGACAGCTCATGCGTGTCTGGGAATAACCACTCACAAAAGCGACGATACCAGCCTCCCTCTCAGATCAACGTAGGGACTAGTTCGATGCGGGCCGACGACGAACAAGATAAAATCCACAGCATCCTATCAAAGTCTCTTCTGGAGAACTTTGCCCCTGAACACCTTGTCCTTGAAACTCCTGTACCCTCGCTACAGCTTGTCCTTGTTGCGTTGAGCCGTCAACATTGTTGCTATTCGTACGTTGCATAGCTGCTTCTGCTTCTGCGTCGGTCTCAGGGACAATACCATATCTCTGCAAAAAAATTTCAGTGATATCACAAAGGGTAGCGACAACAAGCATCTCACATCTTCCAATTGGCAATGAGCAACATCGACGGGACGTCTAGTAAGATTTACAGGAAATAAGCTGAAATTCAAACGCCGGGGCTGAGGTTGAACTGTATTCGTAGGTCGAGTGCTGGAGCGCAGGAAGCCGAACAAATTGTGCAGACTAGGCGGAGATGATGAGCGAAGAGGCGTGCGGTTTGTGTCTTCACCCCAGAAGTCATTTCCCTGTCTTAGTGTCAGACATGGCAACAGTTTGGAAAGAATACAGCTGGGCTCACATATCTCGCCAAGCCTCTGTTCGATTTATTGGTTTGCCGTCTGGGGGCAAAAGAGATCTAATGTAGATACATGAGTGAAGGATCAGGTTGCTCGAAATTAACTAGCATACATCTCTAAATGGAACTGCACGTCCCTGGCAGAAAAGTCAGAATAGGTACGAAAGAAAAGAAAAAATTACTCACCTTGAGCTTCACATTGGACTCTGCATCGCTCTCGGGCTGACCGGTGCACAAAGCTATTTAGAAAAGACATTGACCCAAGTTATGTACACACGCACGCCAACCCCACGAGCGCGCCAGAGTGCTTCTTCCAGGCTCCATACATAGATTTTTGCATCCTGTCCGAAGATAGCACTGGCAAAGTATTGTCCATCGGAGGACATGGCAACAACTGAAACACCACCGTCGTGCCAGAGTGGGTCTCCGACTTGCTGATTGGATTCGAGGTCCCAGATGCGAACTGAGTAGTCATCTGATGCGCTGATAAGATGGGATCCATCAGGAGACAGACAAAGGGATTCAACGCTTCTGGTATGACCCCGAAAAACGACGAGTTCTTCCGCGTCAATCGATTGCAATTTTCGTATGGTGTGATCATATAAGGCAGAGAAGACGTATGCGCCATCCTTAGACCAACACAACGACGCCACCGGGCTGTCTCCCTTGATCTCGATGAGCAGCTCACCGTCCTTTGACCACACGTAGATTATGTCGTCTTCACTGCCACTCGCCAATCTGTCGCCTTGCGGAGAGTATTTGATTGTGTTCACCCATAAATCGCTGCTCTTTATCAGTGGTGCAATTTGTCGGCCGGTGGCAGGGCTCCATCGTCGTATAGTTCCGTCTCTTAATCCACCTGCTACCTCTGCCCCATTCGGTGACCAATCGAGGCACATCACTTCATCATCATTCCCCTCCCACGGGTGACCTACCAAGCACCCTTCCTTTATATTCCACAGCCGTACTTTGCCATCTTTGCATATACCTACAACCATCGATTGGTCTGGAGACACTGCCATTGTGATTGCATCTCCTGCGTCACTGTTGAGAGGTTTTCCTATCGGCTGTCCAGCTTTTGTCCACTGGCGAATCGAACCATTATCCAACATAATCATTATATCGCCATTGGTGCCCAAGCAGGCAAGGCTTTCGGTCTTCAACCACCTACTACCCTTGATGGTGCACTCTGGCATCAAACACCCTGCTTGACGTTCTGGTGTTGGTTTCTTCCACGACGTACTCCGAGTGTTGTGGTTGACGAAGTAAGACCGACCGAGCGGCGAGATGTGCCATTCGCATCCAATAATAAGCAGCTCGGGGAAATCTACGCTCAACAATGAATTTTTTTGCTCTCCGAGTCATCGCACTTTCGTTGTTCACCTAATCGTACTCCCGGTAAAGGTCGGTCATCTGAACCCATGTCGAGTAGCAAGTCTTCGTAATACAGTTCTTCTGCTAGCCATATCTCCCTCCATGAAGGAGGGAGCGCCTCATTCCCTCCTGCTCGATATTGAGTCAGTCAATTGGTTTCACAATGTGCTGGCTCACCTTCCCAAAGTGCATCCTGGCGGTGCTGTGCACCATAGGCTGGCGGATTCTTTTCACGCTTCAGGGGAGCAACCAGTCCTGATGAGCCTGACAGCACTCCTCGATTTGCCTCTCCCTGTTTTGCTGACGTGCTTGACTCGGCCTTTGCATGCGGCATGACGATGGTTGGGACGTTCCCCGACTCCCACTGATAGTGGGGGAGGGCCTTGTCGTGATAGTTGAGGTAATACGCAAACCTGTTAGATAGTGTTTCACACGCTGTGCAGCATTTGGTCACGTTTAGTAATTCTTAGATAGGATGGATCAACCCAAGAAACCGCCGGCCAACTGTATTTTTCATGAATTGGTTTGTGTTCATAATATTCATCCTAGGTACCAATATGACAAATAGGACCGCTACACCGCTCGGCGCTCTACCAGTCATCTGATCCTGACGCGGTAGCCGCAGTCTTCACTGTTGGAACAAATATATTGGTTCTGCAGTGACCGACGATGGCACTCCTACCCACCATCAGTGAACGCATGAGTCCTTGAAATTGTAGCCGTCGCAGCTGTAGGATGATGTAATTCTGTTCCTACCGAATATGACTATACATACCACGAGAAATTTGACTTAATCATACTTAGCCATGGATGGCCACCAACATAGACTCGCTAGATGAGACCATGACAAAGTCGTAACAAGCTGCCTTCGCAGCCAGCAACGAACGTAAGTGTAATGACGTCCGTGTTATTGAACATTTTAACTTGCAAGCATTTATGTTTTATATTAACAGATTATCTAAGACTTTCCGCAGGACAATGGCCTTAGCCCTTGACGGCGCATAGAGATTGACCTAGTGTTGCCGAAGTCCGGTTCGGTCCGGTTCTTGGGGCAAATTTTCCGAACGCCGAACCGAACCATAGGTTCGGTTCAGCCATTTGGTCGAACCCTGGACCGAACGTCACTGAACGCGTTCGGGAGGTCCGGTTCGCGTTCGAACCAGGTTCGACTAAGCTTGGACCATCTGTTTGGTTGTATAGGCTTGAGACTATGAATTTTCATGTAATTTGAGTCGGACAGATAACGAAAAGACTCTATAACGCAAGGAGAACTCCTTTGTACAAAGATTGAATTCAAGTTTCTAAAATAAATACATTTTATTTGCCTGGTGCGCATAGTTCCCTCGTAAAACATATCTCAAACGGAATAGCATGTATGTTTGCAGTGTCTGAGAATGCAAGCATGTCAATCTTCGCTGCAGGATTCTCCGAAAGGTGGAAAGCACAGAATAAGAGTCGTGTTAATGAAGACAGACCGATTCACGACATGTTGACCGGGAGTCCAAGCCCACAGAATAAGAGCCGTGTTGATGAAGACAGACTGATTCGTGACATGTTGACCGGGAGTCCAAGCCCACAGAATAAGAGCCGTGTTGATGAAGAGTGCCCGACAAGGAACATATCAGTCCCCCATCCAGAGTCGAGTCTACATGCGCAACGTACCAAATATCCATTATAGAGTGCATGCTTACACTGACTTATACTTATACAGACATGGATTGAACACCTACGCGAATTAATCGGACCTGCCAGTGTGCAAGTCACGGGTTGCAGTCTTCGTCGCACTTGCAGGAATGAGGTAGTTGTTCCAGATGATGTCCTTCAATGTCCTTCGTCACGCGATGTGCAAAGCCTGTAGTGAAAGGTGGTCGTCCACTATCGCATCATCACAACTGAAATAAGACGTACCTCCAATAGTGACAGGTCTCTACCTGAGACTCTCGAGGATGAACATGGTAACTTGCGGCAGCATTTCCTGATCAGCAAATGTCGGCACTGATCAAGAGTTATTTGAGTCAGTTGATGCACAAAGAAAAGGCATAACCTACACCGCGTACGCCCCACGACATGATCGAGTTCCTCTTGTACGCGAGCCTGCGCATCTGTGTGAGATTGCGAACACAGTCTACAACAGTTGTCAACTTAAGACACGATGCAATGTAAGAGCTCACCGTTTCAGAACCGGCGCCAAACATTGTTCCTAACCATTTGTGTTCGCACCGTGTCCAACTGCCCGTTATAGAGAGCATGTTCTTCTTTGTGCCATGCCTTCAGCTGACTCAGGTAGCCGAGGACGAATAACTTTCTTGCGTGGGAGGTGTGCTGAGGTGTGGTGCTTCGACACAGCGGAGATCTGACTCTGGCAAGCAAGAATGTGACGGTGCAGTCCTGTGTCACAGCGCGTCACCGTGACGA